GGACTCCTTGCTGCCAAAACTCATATTTCGGGACCTCATCTTGGAGATCCGACACCACTATGGTCTTACTTGGCCCAAATTATGGTGGACCCCCAAATTGGAGCCCATTTGGAGCCTATTTTCCCTTCCAAATGACCCATAATTGTGTTATTGTCAAATGTGTGTTTACTAGAATTTCAAGGCCATAACAAAATAAAGCTCTATGGGAGCAAGTGTGCCCCCGGCACCAAGGGCAAGCCCCTTAGCTACAATTATGCCTTGTTGCCTAGTGACTCATCCAACGCCCTTCTTTGGTGTGGGAGAGGACCCGTGACATTATGCTCTTATGTAACCTACTCATAATTTTTCATCAAAGCATCAAGTTGATTTCAACCCGTACATGTCACGGCTGGCAAATATTAGTGACCTTCCTTGGAAAGTCCTCAAACCACACCCTTTCACCCTTGTCTGGCAGCTACTACTTAGATGTTGTATTAGCCACACATTTTCTCTCCCTTTCAAGAAAAGAATAGGCATAAGAGGAGCTAAAAAATCTTCAGCATACCCAGAATGGTGTAAAGCATAGAATTTTTTATGATAATATCTTTTGGTGTAAATAGTTTATTTTTTTTTTTATTTTTTTTAATAATTTCTTTGGGGGTTAAGTCATTCGTTTTGAGCTGTGTATCCTATGCTTGTATTTGTGTGACAAGTTGGATAACTCACCTTGTGGTGAGTCACTGCTACATCTTTACAATGCATTGGGAAATAAACAAGTCCCCTCCACCCAAGTGGTGAGTCATTGCTACATCTTTACAATGCATTGAGAAATAAACAATTCTGACTGTGGCCACATGAACTTTTGTTTTATTAGTGGTGCATCCGTATTTTTTCCAAGGCTCAAATGCCTATTTGTTGAAGGAAGTTTGGATCTGATGGTTCCTATTTTTAATCTTGCCAATTTGTGATGCTATCTGCACTTGTTCTTGAAGTAAATAGTGAATTTCCTTTGTACATTTACGACTTGGTAAACTATATGATAAAGTATCTTTTTCTATGATATTGCTGCCAGGAAATAGTCATATGAGTTTTGGTGGCATGATGAAATGTGCTATTTTAGATTACTTGATTTGAACCATAAAGTTGACCCTATTATGTTGAGGGCAGGGTATTACTATTACAGAGTAGCTATTTTATAAGTATATGCATCATCCAAGCTTTGATTAGATGTTAGGCATGGTTCAAACTCTAATGTATGCTCTTTCTAATTGTTAGAAGTCTAAATTAGTCCATAGAACACCTAGAATTGTGAGGATATTGAATCTTGCACTATATAGCATGATCTTTTCTCAAGTATTTTTCTACTCCCATTTCAATTTAATAGGCAAACCAAACCAAAGCTTGCATATTGTTTTATGCAATTAGCTGTTGGCTTTATCATTATGTTTTAATATAAAAGTAGATGTGATGCGAGATCAAAGAGGAGTTCTATTTATTTTGATGAATGGGAGACGGTGTGAGCCCCAACTTTTGGTATTGGGAGGGTAGAGTTCTTTTTATTGTTGATAGGTTCATGCCATAAAAGTAAGAATGGTAATTGAATTGGGACGAAAAATGGAGGGAGGTTTTATTTTTTATTTTTTTATTTATTTATTTATTTTTTTTTAAAGATACAGGAAATCAATGTGTGTACACTTCAAAAAGTGAGTCCTATCTAATGTACACAGTAGGGTTGAATAGTGAAACTACTTTCAGTAAACTTCTTTTTGAATGGGGTGTACTTTGCCTCTCAGAGAGAGGGGGGGGGGGGGGGAGGGGGGGTATGTGGGCTATCAACAGATGCTACATTCACTCCACATATCTATATTGGCTCTCTAGATCAATGCCATTATTTAATACTAAATGCATTTTTCTTTTTTCTGATCAACAGTTTCTCGGATTGCTCTGGTTAAGCCTGAAAAGGCTAGAGGAGTAGAGGATGTTATATTAAGAGCTGCTCAGATGGGTCAAATTGTTGAAAAGGTCAGACAAAACCCTTTTATATGGAAACAACCAAGTGGTTGGTAGTTTATTGAAAGAAAGCTAATAGAGGTAATATGATGTTTTTGATACTACATCAGGTTTCAGAGGAAAAACTTATATCACTGTTGGAGCAAATTAATACTCAGACGGCTAAGCAAACCAAAGTGACTGTAAGTTGTCCTTACCCCATAAAAAAGCAATTTGTCTGAGCTTCTGTTTTTTTATTGTGCTTGTGTACTCTAATTTTTCAGATCCAGAGGCGCCGAAGTGTTCTCGATGATGACGATTAGATTCTTTGCTGCTAAAGAACTGCTAGTTCTAAAGAGCTGCTTAATGCTTGCAAGATTTCTTTAATTTTGAGTCTTGTGTAACTATGCTGAGTAGAAAAAAACCTGGCTTGTTTATGTATTTGATTGCTATGATAGCAGTTGGTTATTGCTGTTTATCTGAAATTTAAGACATTACCCGCTTTTCTTGAAGAGGCATGTACATTTGGAGAAGAGGCCATTGTTTTTGCCATGTGCATACCGTCATGAAACGAACCGTTTATGCTATATGAGATTGAGATCACCTCTAATTAATATGGGTCAAAGCTTCCTATTTTCTTGTTCATGTTTGTCTATTGCTCTCTTTTCCTCCCTTTGAAACCTTCCTATGCTGATGCCTTGGCACAACAGTGCTTGTTGTGTATATGTTGGAGGCTGGTCTGTTAGGTGTCGCACAATGTGCTCATCGTATGTCATACCACCCACTTTTGCTAGCTTATAAAATTTTCACCAGCCCATTTACTCCATAAATGGAAAGTATTTTCTTTTTACATGCTTTCATATTAACTGGCCACACCGTGTGACTAGTCACAATTTATGTCTTGAATTCCTCACCTCATACCAACACGCCAACATCATACCCTTCTTCCTCTATTTTCATCTCCATTTTTCTGCCATTTTTCCCGCTTTTCAAGGTTTTCTCTCTCCTCCCAACTTTCAACCATGAATTCTCCTGCTACTTGTTCTTCCTCATGCTACTTCTCTTCAATCCCTTCTTCATCCTCTATTACAATAACTCAGCTTTTCTTTTTCTAATTCTACCCTCAATTTCTCTCCTCAAAACCACCATAAAGTCCTTCCTCTACATCCTTCGTTTGCGACGCCGCAATCACCTCCGCGCCGATTCTGGACACCTCCGACCTCGCTATATCGAATTTTGATAGATTAATTGCAGAATTTTTCCGTTGACCAAGTGAAGCATTTGCTGACTTACGTAGCAAAGTTTTCGCCGTTGGATGAGGATGATCGGACAACAAAGAATCGTGGCTGCTACATCTTGTTTTGATTGGGTTTTTTTGTTGTTGGTTGTTTTGATTTGAAGTATGGTTTTAGGGTTGAAGGTTGGAGAGAATTTTGTTTTTGGGTTACTAGGTTGGTCAGGGGTTACTAGATTTGGTCAGGGGTTACTTGGTCAGGGGTTACTAGGTCCGGTCAGGGAGTTACTTGGTCAGGGGTTACTTGGTCGGCCAAGGGCTACTAGGTCGAAGGGGTTATTAGGTCGGTGGGGTTACTTTTGTCATGTGCTAGATGGCCACACACAAAACCTCCTGTTTTTTTTTGTTTTTTTTTTGGTGCAAAGACGGAAAGTATGTTAAGTATTGTACTATTGTGTGGCGTAACATGTAAAAAAAATGTGCTAGGAGCAACTCCTATGATTGACAAATATGCATTATAAGTTAATCATGCCACATAGGATTCTGAAGCTACTTCCCCTTCAAGTTAAGGTGATTTGCCATCTTCATTAACGTTAATAGCCAACAAAAAAGAAGAAAAAGAAAAAAGGAATTCATACTTGGATTAGCTGATAAATGAAAATCACAAAATTGAAGATAGTTAACAACAAAAAGGAAAAACCTTCTAAGGAGACCAAATTTCAAAAAAAAAAAGATCAATAAAAAAGTTAAAATCCAAACCTCATTATATTAGTGATTTTTATCATGCAAAATGGGTGAATTAAGGTTGAGTGAAATCCATAAAATTTGAGAGTGAAAGAGGACAAAAAAAATAGAGTGAAAAAGGAGCAAGAGTTAATGAGAGTGGTAAATATTGATCTTACCAAATTTGAGACTGAAAGAAGAATGCATACTAAAATTGAAGAATAATACTATAAGGATATATTGCAATTATTTTAGACGGACATAAAAGAAAAATGTGACGATTATTACGAAATATAAGAGGTATAACTTTACCGACAATCTCAATATTCAAACAAATTGATTTAAACTAAAATTGAGTTAATAATCAAAATAATCCGACTCAAATTTAAAGCAAAGCTGAATTGATTTCAATTGAGATATAACAGAATCTGAAATGACCTAATCCAAAGTTTATTAAATCCATTTTGACCCAAATAAACTCGCTTAGATTCGAATTCGAGTTGACCTAAACTCGATATGACTCGACCTTTAACTTAATCCAAATTCGATTTGCACCCGACCATACTCAAACCCAACTTTGACCCGAATCTAATTAAGATTGACATGACTTGATTTAGTCTGTTAGGATAAAATTACCCGCCATTACCCAATCCAACCATCCCGACCCATTATGGGTCAACCCCAAACTCCATATGGTTTGATTTGACACCGACGATATGTACCTAACCAAACTGAAATTTACAAATTATTTGATGTCACCTGAATTAGAAGTGACCTGAACCAATCCGTTTTATAACCCAAATAAACACGCTAATCCGTCATGATCTGAGCCATCCACAACCAATTGTCATTGACCGATTCGACAATTCTACATAAGTGAAAAGATTTTCCATATGTACGAATATACACTTGAAACTTATTTTGACACACTTTTATGTGAGAAGCATAAAAATCCGTTTATTTACCTTGCTTGTGTACCAAAATCATTTCCCGTATACACCAGGCTACCAACCGAACCATAAAGCCCTCATATTAAGCCCTAAAATCCAATAGAACTTTTGTAATATTAAGCCCATTTACTTTATAAAACAGCTCCAATTTCTAACTTCACTGCACATATATATTCATCAAATCACCATAAACCCTAGGTTAGCCGTTCCTTTTCTAGGGTTTCTCAAATTCGACGTCGTTGCAGCAAACACAAACATCAGGAGCGAAGTAATGGGTATACTTCCGATTTCTCTTTCTCTCTCATCCATTTTCGATGAATTCTAGCTTTTTCAATGTGTTCAAACTGCTGTTTTGATTCAATTTACATTTTTTTGTGTGTATATTTGCAGCAAGAATTAAACCACATGAGTTGAGGCAAAAGCCTAAGGCTGATTTATTGAATCAGCTTAAGGATCTCAAGGCTGAGCTCGCTCTCCTCCGTGTTGCTAAGGTTACCGGCGGCGCTCCTAACAAGCTCTCAAAGATGTAAAATTTCAATTTCCATTTTTAGGGTTTTTAATCTTAGGGTTTTTGTATGATTTGATTGAATTAATGGGGTTTTTTCTGGTGACTTTGCAGTAAGGTGGTAAGATTAGGAATTGCCCAAGTGTTGACAGTGATGTCACAGAAGCAGAAGTCGGCATTGAGGGAAGCATACAAGAAGAAGAAGTTTTTGCCACTTGATCTTCGTCCCAAGAAGACCCGTGCCATTCGTCGTCGTCTCACTAAGCACCAGGTATTATTTTCTATTTCCTCTTATACTGTTTTGCCAATTTGATTTGTTCATTAATAAATTAATTTGTTTATTGTGTTGTTGTGGATAATATTGTGAGGTTTTGAATCTGAATTCATTATTGTAAATTGTATTTGGGTTTGATTGTATTTGTATGTCATTGAATGTTGAGTGAAATGGGTTTACATCTTAGTTATATAGAATAGATTGAAGGGAATTAAGGTAATCATTGGCATTTTGATTTTCAGGTTTGAATGTTAAAGTGCTATGTCATTTGATTGATTCTTTTTACATTAGTATTAAGAGTGATGCTAATGATTTAGTACTAGTGAAATGGCTTTGAACGCTAGTATATTAGGTTACAATAGAGAGGCATGTTTAAATTACAAATTTTTGTTGGTTTTGAGGAAAGCACAGGATGTGTTCTGAAATGGCACTTTTTTTTAATGATTTTTATTTATATCTTTACACCGTGAATAAGGGGTTTGATTTATTTTGATTTCTGCGTACATTATTGAAATCAATGTGTTGTTTGTAGATGGATTGTGTATGTCTAGTCATTTCTTAACCTTTAAGCTAGATCATATGCAGTGCTCCAAATGCCTCTCTTATTAGCAGTTTTTTTTTACCTGTTCCTGTTTATTTGAGCCTATCAGCTCTAGATTTTAAAAAGAAGAGAAAATTTTAAAAAAGAATGGTTAGGGAGTTTGTTAAGTTTATTAGAGGTATAAGCTGATGTGAGCTAAGTGCAGTGCTACAAAGCCTAAGTACATCATGAATATTTGAATTGACCTGCAGGAGGAGCTTAGATGGTCATATAATACGAGTATTAGACATTTAGGACGGTTGTAATCATTCTAAATTGCATTGTTGGATATGGAGTATGTTATAATGGAGGGAGTTGTGGCAGTTATGCTAATTTCTATGAAGTAACTTTTTTTTTTATTTTTTTTTTATTTTTAATGAGAAAATAGTTGTGTTAAAGTTTGTAGGCATGATAGTTCTGATGTTAATTCTCTTGCTTGCGCATAGCTGTTGACCTCTTGTGGAAGAAAGTTTGTATTTTGACATCAACTAAATTCTGAGTGAATGTTTCCCTTGCTCAACTTGATTAGCTGTTGCGACATTGTTGCTGTTTGCATGTGCCACATCAAACAGTTTAGGGTTTAGAGGAGTGATGTAATCATATTCATAATATGTTTCTTCCCTTGTGTGGTTGTGGGATTGTACGATAGAAATTATTTTCCCCTGGTTATTTTGCATATGTTCTGGAGGTTATTTTCTTAAATAGAATTGAATTTAAAATATGAATTGTGACTGTTGTGAGGTCTCTAACTAGTACTTCGTATTATTTTCTTTCTTTCTCCAGGCATCTTTGAAGACTGAAAGGGAGAAGAAGAGGGAGAGGTACTATCCCATGAGGAAGTATGCCATCAAGGTGTAGGCTAGGTATCTATAATCTAGGGCGGTTTTCACATTCCATGGAAATTTTGTTCAAATGTTTGTTAAACTTCTATAAAGTGATGTTTCAGATTATGACATTAGCAAGTTATCTTCTACCTTGTGATTTTATGTTGCCTGCATTTTGTATTCTTAAATAGAATTGTGGTGGTTGTCTTAATTTTGACAGAGAAAGGTGGTTTATGCTTTCAAGGCATGCAGGTAATAGTTGTTTAGTCTTGGTGTTGCTACTCGATCATGTGATCTTGGCCATGATTTGTATGATCCAGCACAGCATGTTTATGGGATCCTTAATCATTTAGTTTGGACCTATCAATTTTTGACCTGATTGGCAAACCTGACCTAAATTTGTCGAATTTTAACCTGATCGGCAAACCTGACTTAAATTTATTTACCCAAAACCTATATAATGGATCTAAAATTAATATGGGTGAGATTATTTGATTAATAAAATTGAAAATTAAATAATAAAGAAAGTTGAATAACTTGATATTATTAATAATTAAGCAAAAAAAAAATAAGAAAAAAAAATTACTTAACCAGTTGGGTTGACTTAAACCTGAAAACATTGGATTAGGGTTGAACATTCCTATTATTAGAACAATTTGCTAAATTGATATAATAAAAAAAAATTCTTAAAAATAAAGTTAACTTGAAATTGAATTTGTTACTCCAAACAATGTCCACATAGGTTCGGATACCACAAACTTTTTTTTATTATTGTTTTTCTTAACTTCAATTTTATAAGTTTAAAAACTCAAAATAAAGATCTTTTGAGGACAAGTAATTGAATGAAATCTAAAAGCCTTCAAGTTAGTGTTGCTTTGATTTTATGCTTTTGTGGTTGATAGACTTTTATAAATTGTGTCTTACTAGAGGTGTCAGTTTTCAAACCGTATCGTGGAACCGCCCGTGACCGAACCGACCTAGCAAGAACTGAACCGTTTAAAAAACCGTTGATTTCAAATCGAAAATCGAACCGAACCGAACCGTATATAGTCAACCCGATATCGAACCGAACCGATTAATGTTAACCCGTTAAGAACCGTAAACTGATAACTAACCAAACCGCTCCAACCGAACCAAAACTAAACCGAACCGAATGTGTTATAGACCGTTATTGACCCGAACCGTTTATAAACCTAAACCGTTTGAACAGTAGAAAAAATCGTTTAAACCAAACCGTTGTAACCGCTAACCGTTTTACCGAACCGTTGTAACCCGTTAAACCGAACTGTTTTCAAACCGCAACCCGTTTAAACCGATCCGATTACAAACTGTTTAAACTGAATCGTTTACAGCCTGTTCCATTCAAATTGAACTATTTACAACGTTTAACAATTTGTTAGAATTCCATGGAATATAGTTGTAACTCTTGTAAGCTTTTAACTTTAAAAACAAAAAAAACACCCACTATAGTTATAGTTTATATCATCGTAATTATAATCATTAACTTGTACAATATTACTTCGAAATAATTCTGAAGGTTGTAAAAAAAACAAAAATTGTTCTAAAAAAAATTGTATTACTTCAAAATTAAAAAAAAATCATAAAATCAACCTAATTATAATTGTTAATGAAAATATTGACTATGTATTACATTGAGTAAAAAACAACCTAATTATCATAAAAAGATGTACAAAGAAGGTGTATATCTTGTAATATATACATAGTGATTTAAGAGGAAAACTCCATACAAAAGAGCTCCTACTAAGTTAAATCAGCAACAGAAAGGCTCGGGAGCAACAGTCATCAGCAGGCAGGCAGGTTGGATAGTTGTAAATCATCTGATCAGCTCCATACAACAGCAGGGCAGCAGAAGTAAATCAGCAGGGCAGCAGCAGTAAAGCAGCAATAGTTTCCTAGGAAACAAAATCAGGAATACAATGATCTACACTAAGGCCATAACTCAATTTCTTCACAATAATCTTACCAAAATGAACCATTTTCTGTCGCCCATCCCTCTTCACACTCATCATAGGCATCGGAAGTAATTTTTTGTAAAAAAAAATTGCTCTCAGATTTAATACTATCATATCACCGAGCAATAGTTGTTTTAATTTAACTTGAAAATTTCTGCCAGCAAGTACATATATATTGACATCTCAACATAAATGACAAGGGCAACAATTTGATTCAAGATAAATTAAAACAACAGTAAGCGGACATAGAAAATAAGCAGTCATCCATAGGCAGCAGCCGTAAATCAGCAGCAGAAAGGGTCAGAAAAAGCAACAAACCAGGGCAGTAGTAGCGGAGAAGAGTTAGAAGACTATAGGCAGCAGCAGTAACAATGATACATCAACAACAGCCACAACGAGGCAACAGAAATACCACTCATCATAGGCATTTCGGAAGTAATTTTTTGTAAAAAAAATTGCTATGAGATTTAATAATATCATATCATCACCGAGCAATAGTTGTTTTAACTTAAGCTTGATAAATGACAAGCACTAGTAGAAAAAATGAAATAGGCAACCCCCCTATGGCAACGCTTCATAAAAACCGTTGCCAACTTAAGTGAGCGCCATTTTAAATATCAGAGTTGGCAACGGTTAACTGTTAATCAATTTTTTTTTTTTTAAAAAAAAAAAAAAAAATTGATTAACATTAACCGTTGCCAATTGCGTTTTTTTTTTTAAAAAAAATAAATAAATAAAAGGTAAAGGTTTTCCAAGTAAAAAAAAAAAAATTCCGGTTTACAACGTTCATCTTCAACTTTCATTCATTCAATTCAATTCGATTTTCGTTCTGCTTTCCCTCCCACGACGCCTCTGCTTTCATTCAATTTCCAAACGCTTAGCTTCCTCCATTTTCCATTGAATCTTCCATTGTTATCAACGTACATTGCAAGCAGCAGCTCCTATTTGGGCTTCAATTTGATCTTCTCCTCACGCACTGCACTCCTGTCTGGGCTTCGTTCTTCTCCATTTTCCATTGAAGCTTCCATTGAAGGTTTTGTCTCCTCACGCACGCAGCCTCCTGTCTGGGCTTCGTTCTTCTCCTCACGCACGCACTCAGTTCTTCTCTTCTGCCTCCCTCCATGCGTTATTGAAGCAGCTTCGACCTAGGTAAGTAATAACGCTCCTGCATTCACTTAGCTTCTCCATGTATTGCATTAAAACCATTGTTGGGTTTTTTGAGGAATTTGTCTTTAGTTTAATATTTGAAAGTTTCTTGTAATTGCTAGGGCTTGTCCGTTAAACGCGCAAGGCTCCCCCTCCATTAAACGCACAAGGCTGCCCCTCCACAATGTAAGTCCTTTGTAGTTGTTATTGTTGCTGTTTAGTCAATTAATTAAACTTTGTTGCTGTTTACCCCAAACCTCCAAAGTAGCACCCTCAAATTCACCTATCCACCATACATAAAAACTACATACAATATGTTATCAAAAAAGTAATAAGTCATGTAGCATTATAATTGCAGCAATAAGAGGTATTGCACAGTAGTTCACACACTATTATATGTTCATATATACTTTAGCTTAATATAAAACCATGCATGTTTTGTATATGAACTTATCGCAAAAGAGCTTATAATCAAGATTCAAAAATCCCTTCACCAAAATACCTTAGCTTTATAAATAAATAAAGCTTTAGGGTTTAGAGTTTAGGGTTTAGAGTTTAGGGTTTAGGGTTTAGGGTTGAGAGTTTAGGGTTTAGGGTTTAGGGTTTAGGGTTAAGGGTTTAGGGTTAAGGGTTTAGGGTTTAGGGTTTGAATATACTTTTCTTTATGAGTTGCTTCTCACTATATATATGCGTGTTTCAGGCTAAGAAATGGGTGTCAAGGGCTTCTAGGGTAAGATCATCAGTTTGGAGAGTGGGCGAAAAACAACCTGGTATGGTATCTTACTCTGACTGTCCTTGTTCTTGCATTGCTCACTAATATCATTCTTATCTTTTCCCTTAATCTGGTTTTCTATTTGTGTTCTATATAGGTTACACTGAAAAAGATTATCAGGAATTTTTGGGCGAAGCATAGACCTTGGCATTGACCTTCTATTTGAGAGTGTTGAGCCTTTATAGGTACTCAGGTATATATATATATAACTTTATGTGCTTTAAATAAGTTCTTGGTTGCACAATTTTGTGGAGATGGTGTGTGATATAACTTTGGTGCATCTTCTATCATGATGTGTGATTAAACCATTGGTTTTTAATTGATTGCATGTATCATCATATACCTAGATACCCGTTTAAGGCTTTCTCATTAGGAGAAAGTCTTGAATAGTCCTCCTCCTTCTCTTTCTTCTCCTTCTCTTTTTCCTTCTCCTTCTCCTTCTCCTTCTCTTTCTCATTGGGAAGCGGAGAAGGTAGGAGAGGCTACCGAAGAGGCTGCAGCAGCTGTGCAGCGCTGTGCAGCCTGCAGCTGCTGCCCTTCGCGCTCGGGTTTTTTTTTTTTTTTTTTTTTTTTTTTTTTTTTTTAACTAGCACCTAAGATACTTAGTGATGAATATGTAATGCTTGAAACAACCTTAAAAAAGCAATTTCACAAGTGTGAGGTTCATTTACAGTATTTACGGCTCGAAATGGCCTAAATGAGTTCTAACTTGCCCATTTTCCGTGATTTTAGCTCAATGCTTGATTTAAGTCCTATATTACACCTAAGATACTTATTTATGAATATTTATGGCTTGAAACGACCTTAAAAAAGCAATTTCACAAGTGTGAGGTTCATTTACAGTATTTACGGTTCGAAATGGCCTAAATGAGTTCTAACTTGCCCATTTTCCGTAATTTTAGCTCAATGCTTGATTTAAGTCCTATATTACACCTAAGGTACTTAGGTATGAATATTTATGGCTTGAAACGACCTTAAAAAAGCAATTTCACAAGTTTGAGGTTCATTTACAGTATTTACGGTTCGAAATGGCCTAAATGAGTTCTAACTTGCCCATTTTCCGTGATTTTACTCCTATATTACACCTAAGATACTTAGTTATGAATATGTAAATGAAGTATCTTCTTAATTGGTGCAGGAAGAGACCCGTTGTGAACTTCTTCACCCGGGCGAATCATATGATGGACCTTTGCGTGTTGTTGCCTATGGTAGTGCACAACCGGCCGAACAAGGTACGGTCCATCTTCGACCTCTTCTGCCTGAGCATTATTCTGTCGGGATCCATTATGTGGTTCCCGAGTCCGAGGACCTCTTAATACCTGTGCCCGTGGAGGAGGATGAGTTCACTACACTCTGGGCAGCAAAAGGTAGTTTTGTGCAATGGCCATCTGCTTGGATACGGTTGATGAACCAGGTAATTAAGATTTAGATTTCACGCTTTAATCCTTTCTTCCTAAGAGTTGGATGGAAATCTTTTCTAACCATTTGTGTGATCATAGTTATTAGTCATCGAGGAAAAGCCAAACGCCAAAGAAGAGGGTGGAGGGGCCAAAGAACAGAAGTGAACATGGCTCGGTGAGTGGAAAGGCGTCGTTGAAGAGCCCTTCACGAGGCTCAGCTACGCAAGCTACTCCATTAGCTGAAGACACGGTGCTTCAATCGCTATCTCAGGAGTTAGCTTATTTGCACAACCGTGTTTGCGTGTTGCCTAATGACAGCCCCATCCAAATTCAACTTCCTAAGGAAATGTTCCACTACGATGATGATGCAACGGCATGGCTATTCAAAGAAGATGTGAAGGAATTTCTAAGTGGTGCAATGCTTAACATTTCCCTCATTCAAATATCCATGAGGTAATTCAACTGGTACTCAATTTATGTTATTCAGTTCAGTGGTGTTTGTCGTTTGGTTTTCGATTAACATTGTGTTATCATGCATGCAGAGCACTCCAGGAGCAAATATGGGAGCTTGAATCTCCTTGTCAAGTTGGGTGGTTGTGCCCTGAGCAGATGTCCACTGCTAGAATCTTAGGCAACTCAGCTGACGTGTTGTACTATGCTGAACGGGGTATCAGGCAATCAGTGAGTGCAGGAGACAAGTTTATATTCGTCCCATACTATGAGGAGTACGTCTGATTATGCTAGTCAAGTTCATTTGTTTTCCCAGTTTATTTGTTGTAACAGGCTAACTATTGATTTGTTTGTCTTGTGTGTAGTTATCATTGGACCCTACTTGTGATTTGTGTTTCCAGTAACACAATCTTCTACTTTGATTCTGCTCGATTACCTCAAGTAAGAAAGCGCCTCGTGAGGTCCATACTGCAAAAGTAAGCATCTAGTTTGTTTCACTTCTTGTTATTCATTTTCATATCTGAACTCATATGTATTGATTATAAACGTCAAATTTAAACTTATTACTTTGATTTTTTGTAGTACCATGAAGAAGATAAATCCTCGATCTCCTCGAGGTCCTACATGGAAAGCACCCAAGGTAATTCACCCATGATGTTGTGATTTTCTTACTTTACAATGCTTAAGATGTTGCTTATTTGCTATGCATTTTGATTCATGTGCTTTGTTCCTCATGCTAGTGCGCACAACAGGAAAACGGAGTTGACTATGGCCTATACGTGATGAGATTCATGTATGACATAGTGATGAGTCATTGTACAGACACACGTCAGCTTGAAGAGGTACGCCATTTTGGTTGAAATTGCGTCCCAAAACCTCTTATTTGCTCTTTTCTTGTAATCTCAAGCATTAGTCACCTATAACTAAATGATAATGACATGTTTTAACTAGTTATGAGTTCAATAGACAAGAATTGTAGAAAATAGGCATCCTAGTAGCCAAAATGGCCTTACTTGAGCCATTTTGGTTGAAATTGCGTCCCAAAACCTCTTATTTTCTCTTTTCTTGTAATCTTAAGAATTAGTCACCTATAACTAAGTGATAATGACATTTTTTAACTATTTATGAGTTCAATAGACAAGAATTGTAGAAAATAGGCATCCTAGTAGCCAAAATGGCCTTACTTGAGCCATTTTGGTTGAAATTGCGTCCCAAAACCTCTTATTTTCTCTTTTCTTGTAATCTCAAGAATTAGTCACCTATAACTAAGTGATAATGACATGTTTTAACTAGTTATGAGTTCAATAGACAAGAATTGTAGAAAATAGGCATCCTAGTAGCCAAAATGGCCTTACTTGAGCCATTTTGGTTGAAATTGCGTCCCAAAACCTCTTATTTTCTCTTTTCTTGTAATCTCAAGCATTAGTCACCTATAACTAAGTGATAATGACATGTTTTAACTAGTTATGAGTTTAATAGACATGAATTGTAGAAAATAGGCATCCTAGTAGCCAAAATGGCCTTACTTGAGCCATTTTGGTTGAAATTGCGTCCCAAAACCTCTTACTTGCTATTTTCTTGTAATCTCAAGCATTAGTCACCTATAAATAAGTGATAATGATATGTTTTAACTTTTTATGAGTTCAATAGACATGAATTGTAGAAAATAGGCATCCTAGTAGCCAAAATGGCTTTACTTGAGCCATTTTGGTTGAAATTGCGTCCCAAAACCTCTTATTTTCTCTTTTCTTGTAATCTCAAGAATTAGTCACCTATAACTAAGTGATAATGAAATTTTTTAACTAGTTATGAGTTCAATAGACAAGAATTGTAGAAAATAGGCATCCTAGTAGCCAAAATGGCCTTACTTGAGCCATTTTGGTTGAAATTGCGTCCCAAAACCTCTCTTTTTCTCTTTTCTTGTAATCTCAAGAATTATTCACCTATAACTAAGTTATAATGACATGTTTTAACTAGTTATGAGTTCAATAGACAAGAATTATAGAAAATAGGCATCCTAGTAGCCAAAATGGCCTTACTTGAGCCATTTTGGTTGAAATTGCGTCCCAAAACCTCTTACTTGCTCTTTTCTTGTAAACTCAAGCATTAGTCACCTATAACTAAGTGATAATGACATGTTTTAACTAGTTATGAGTTCAATAGACAAGAAATATAGAAAATAGGCATCCTAGTAGCCAAAATGGCCTTACTTGAGCCATTTTGGTTGAAATTGCGTCCCAAAACCTCTTACTTGCTCTTTTCTTGTAATTTCAAGCATTATTCACCTATAACTAAGTGATAATGACATGTTTTAACTAGTTATGAGTTTAATAGACAAGAAATATAGAAAACAGGCATCCTAGTAGCCAAAATGGCCTTACTTGAGCCATTTTGGTTGAAATTGCGTCCCAAAACCTCTTATTTTCTCTTTTCTTGTAATCTCAAGCATTAGTCACCTATAACTAAGTGATAATGACATGTTTTAACTAGTTATGAGTTCAATAGACAAGAATTGTAGAAAATAGGCATCCTAGTAGCCAAAATGGCCTTACTTGAGCCATTTTGGTTGAAATTGCGTCCCAAAACCTCTTACTTGCTCTTTTCTTGTAATCTCAAGTATTAGTCACCTATAACTAAGTGATAATGACATGTTTTAACTAGTTATGAGTTCAATAGACAAGAAATATAGAAAATAGGCATCCTAGTAGCCAAAATGGCTTCACTTGAGCCATTTTGGTTGAAATTGCGTCCAAAAACCTCTTACTTGCTCTTTTCTTGTAATCTCAAGCATTAGTCTCCTATAACTAACCCCAATTATTATTATTTCACTTATACTAACTCACGTTTTGTGTATTCTAAGTTTTGCAAGGGGCAAACGGGACTTCCATACACGAGCGAGGAACTCCATGTAATTCGGGAGATGTTGGCGACCTACATCACATTTAATTTGTAAATATCGTCATACATTTTTGTAGTATATCATCTCTTCATCAATCCTAGGATTAGCTTATTAATTATGTACTATACATGAAACATTTTTCTAATTTATATCATCTCTTGCGATTGTTATTATTAATTATTTATGTTTTGTTATTAATGTTACTAATTATTGTTACTATTATCATATATATAATAATAATAATAATTATTATTATTATTACTATTATAATATTAATAATTATTATTATTCTTATTAATAATAATATTGCAGCCAAAAAAAAAAAAAAAACAGGTCAATATTAGTGCAGCCAAAAAAAAAAACAAAAAACAGGTGAATATTAGTGCAGCCAAAAAAAAAAAAAACAATACAGGTCATTGGCAACGGTTGGTTAATGTTTAAAAAAAAAAAAGGCGCGCCATTGGCTTTGGCAACGGTTAACCGTTGCCAATTGCTTGAGTTGGCAACGGTTTTGAACCGTTGACGGTTCAAAACCGTTGCCTTTGGGGGGGTTTGAACCGTTGCCAATTCGCTGGTTTCGTGTAGTGAAGGGCAACAATTTGATTCAAGATAAATTAAAACAACAACCACAGTGAAGCAACACCAAGTACATATATATTGACATCACAACATAAATGACAAAGACACCGATTTGATACAAGATAAATTAAAACAACAACAGCCACAGTGAGGCAACACCGCAACATAAATACCTTTTATGTAGATGAAGCACTTTTGGCTTCCATCTCTTTACCAATAAGGAGAATGTCTTCCTCAGCATCCCCTTCATAACCAAGACACCAATTTTGGGTGGTAACCAATGCCTCAACATTATTTGGCAAAAGCTTACCCCTATACTTGTTCAGAATACGATCGCCCATGCTAAAAGAAGATTTGGACACCACTGATGTAATAGGAATGGCCAAAACATCCCTTGCCATATTAGCTAAAACAGGAAACGAAGAAGCTTGAGATTCCCAATACTTAAGAACATCAAAATTTTGCCCTTCAATTATTCGCGTACGAGGTCCATTCACATATGATTCAAGATCAGCCAAAGCGCATCTTGTTGGATCACCATCTTCGTCATCATCACTCTCACATAACTGAAATAGTTTTTTTTTTTTTTAAAATTCCAATTATAACATTAAAAAAAATACAAAAATATTGGCATTAATATTATACAACATAATTACCTTGAAAACATTTCCATAATCCAAGAAACGATTAGCATTTTCAGATTGAGCTTTAATGGAAGGGGCATCAATTCTGCAGCTTGAATTAGAATTAGAAGCAGAATAAAATTTATAAAACTCACAAAAGAGCATCCTTAATCATCTTAGCCTTTTTGTCACATGCCTCACCAACATACAACAAGTTTAATATTTTTCTCACTCAATAAAGCTTATAACTAGGATCAAGAGCAACAACAATTGAAAGAATCAAAGAATAATGCTCCCAATAGCCCTCAAACTTTTTAAGCATAACTGTTGCCATGGGTGAAAGTTTAAGGTCTTTATGGGCTTGATAAATAACGTACTCAATTCTTAAAACACTAACAAAATACAAATTAGCAGTGGGATATTCAACACTAGAAAATAACACAGTAATATCATAAAATGGCTGAAGGAAATCACAAATATTTTGAATGGTATCCCATTCATCAGCATCAAGTCTATAATAAATACCCAAATACCTATTAGTAAATAGGAGCAAGGCTTCTTTAGCTTCTAAAGCTTTTCGGAGCATTGTATAAGTGGAACTCCAACGAGTCACAACATCAAGGCATAGCTTACCATTAAAAGCACACTGTACCTCAGACAAAACATGCTCAAATTGAGTTAATCAAGAATCAAAAGCATCAATATATTTAACAACTTCACGCAATTTTACAACACTTCCATTAACTTCCTTAAAGTTCTTTGAACAATAATATTCAAAACATGAGCAGAACATCTAACATGAAAGAATTTACCATTACAAGGGAGAGGAGAACTTTGCATTAATTCTTTTTTCAAATATTCAACCATAACATCCATTGACCTGCATTATCAACGGTCATTGAAAAAGCCTTACCTTGAAGGTTCCACTCTGTGATGAGTTTGAACACAAACTTTCGAACATCAACACCAGTATGAAGAGCGCCACAATATCTAAAATTTAAAATTTTAGACCTAAGAGACCAACTATCATCAACATAATGAGCAGTCAAAGTGAGAAAGCCACAGTTATTACATGCAGTCCACAAGTCACTTGTAAAGCTAACTCTACCAGAAACATTAGCAAAAGACTCATGCAACAAGGATTTATAATTTTCATACTCACGTACACAATACATTAAAATAGTATTTCTACAAACATGCTTCACATTAGGATTCAAATAACAAGAAGTTCCCTATGATATTTATGCTCTTCCATACGTAAAGGATATGCATGGCAGATTATAGATTTAGCAAACATATGTAAAAAGTTTTTTGATCAAATGGTGATTCTACACCTTGGTGAAGACCATGGTTTAGCAAGCATGCATTAATATGAGTTCTACAAGTTGAAGTACCTGATGTACCAGGTGCTTTATATTCTTTGCCACACAAATTACAACAAGCATATTCTAGCTTTTCCGTACCTACCATCTTCAAAAAAAATGTGTAATGCTTCCATATATCTGAGGTTCACGGACGTTTATTACCGGCACTAGTGATAATGCTTGGATTCTGAGCACCTTCATCCGGGGCAGAGTTAGCTTGAGAGTTTACAAAATATGATTGCCTCTCAGAGTCACATTGATCATACTCTTGAGCCATGACTTAAACAACAACAAAAAAAAAAACAAAAAAAAAACGAATGTATAAGTACCAAAAAAAAAAAAAAGCATTTACCAATTTAAATTAGGATTAATACCATTTTTTAATCCCAACTTTGACCAATTTATTTTTATTAATCCCAACTTTGGATTATTCCTCAATAATCCCAACTTTAAGGTGGCTTATCATTCTTCAATCCCAAAAACCGGTAACCTGATGGAAGGGTTAAATTTTTTTTAGACACGTGTCACATGTTAATTACTTCAAAAAATTAAAATAAACAAATTAAATCAAATAAATTAAGAAAAAACAGATAAAAAAAATTAAAATTTAAAATTAAAAAACTGAAAAATTAAAATAAAAAAAAAACTCTCCTCCCTACCAACCACCCCATCCCCCTAGCCCACCTGGAATCTGCCGCCACCTCGCCAGAAACCTCCCCTTTCCCCTTCCTCTCCGACGAAAACAACCACCTTCCTTCCCCCCACCCCCGAAACTACCCCCTCCCTTCCTCCACCCCTGAAATCGCCTCAAACCAACCCCCTACCATCCGCGAAACCACCACCCTCCCACCTGATTCCCCGCTCGTGAAACCACCCCAACCTCCCTCCTTATCTTCTTTTCCGCCTAGATCCGCTAGAAATGGGTTTTGGCGTAGGGGGCTGGAGTTTCAATGGTTGCGGGAGAAGTTATGGGTGAAAATGGTGTCTTGATGGTGGTTTCAAGAGAAGAACGAAGGTGGGGGCTGTGAGTGGTTTTGGGGGAAGAGAGTGAGGCTGCGGGTGGCTTTGGGGGAAGGGAGTGAAGCAGCAGGTGGTTTCGGGGGAATTTGGTGGTTTTCGGTGGGATTGGGGAGGGAGATGGTGGTTTCTGGTGGGGGCTAGGGAGGAGGCGGTGGGGCTGCGGTAGGATGGAGGTGGCTGGCTGGTTTAAGTGGTTTTTAGTGTTTTTTTTTACAAAAATTTTTGGACCAATCAGGACTTGACATGTGTCAAGTGACCTGGTACAACAGGTTAAGAAACCGGTTGGGTATGAGGAATGATAGACCATATCAAAGTTGGGATTATTGCGGAATAATCCAAAGTTGGGATTAATAAAAATAAATTGGTCAAAGTTGGGATTAAAAAATGGTATTAATCCTTTCAATTATACTTCGTTTATACAATACATACATACAAGGGAAATCAGAACAACAGCATTTACCAATTTAAATTATACTTTGTTTATACAATACATACATACAAGGGAAATCAGAACAACAACATTTACCAATTTAAATTATACTTCGTTTATACTATACGTACATACAAGGGAAATCAGAACAACAACATTTACCAAAAAAAAACAACATCAACTTTTACTTATTATTTTTAACTATTAGAATATTTTTTAGATTTCATTTTAATTTTTCCAATGAGCAACTGCATTATCTTCGAACCTACAACAGAAGTAACAAGTGACATTTTCTATGACATACTGCTCGAACACAAGAGTAAAGACACTCATAACGTGGGCTCTATAAACCTTACGAATCAATTAATTCTGGGCTCTACAAACCTTTAACCATACGAATCAAGTATCATTAAGAATTAAATTTTGTTCAACATAGAATTCTTGCTGTAAGTTTCATTGCAAAATAAACACAACTACGCCATATAATTTGAGCAGCTTGAAAAAACAATATACAACAGGATTTAATAAAGGGTAACACTACTGCCCTTATACATCAATAATAATCAAAACCCAAATCAAATTCATTGTGCATAAATAAAATTTAGAAAAATAAATTACAAATTTCAGACACGTACCTTAAAACTTTCGAGGAATAGCTCACAATATTCGGGATTAAAGTTTGAAGGTTGAAATGGTCGCTGCTGGTTTGAAGCTAGATGAATAAACAACCACAAGATAGATGAACAGACAATCACAAAATAGATGATAATCACAAAATAGATGAACTGATTTCACCGAAATAAAGTCACCGAATTTCACCGGATTTTCAATGCAAAACCCAACAAATTTCACCCAAATTTAATAGAAACCAGGAGATAGATTATTCGCAAAAAAAAAATAAAATATGGATGAAATGAGTATGAGTGTGAGGTGGTATGAATGTATGAGGGTATGATATGAGAGATTGAGAGGGAAGAAGAAGAGGCGCCGCTGAATGTATTAGGGTTACCAGCTTATACTCTAGGTTTAGTTTTTACTTTTTAATGAAATCCAACAGTTATTTTACTTGTTTACAATTTAACCATTCGTTCATTTTTTTTTATTTTTATTTTTTTTTAATGTGTGGCTAATAATCATCTGGAAAGTTCCGTTTTTTACAATCCAACGGTAGTATTTTTTTACAATCCAACGGTAGTATTCTTTTTGTTTTTTTTGAGGTCATTATGACCGTTGCTTTTCAAGATATGGCCATTCTGAACTTCTGATTTTTTTTTCCTTTCTTATTTTTGTAACCGTTATTATTTTTTTTAAGTTTATCAAACAACATAATTTTCCAAAAAAAAAAACCAAGTAAAATATTATAAATTATATGTATATATTTATTTCAAAAAAATATTTATATATGTATATATTATTTCCCATAATTCTATTATTAATTTATTATTATTATTATTATTATTATTATTATTGATATTTTTTAAATGCGATTTATAGTTTATCTTAATTGCAAAATGTAACTTTAAACGATTCTTATTTCGTTGTACACTTGTACAGTTGTACTATATAATGGTTTCGTCACTTTCGTCCATTTAGCCTTTCAGGCTATTTGAGTGTGAGTAATAATCTAAATAAACTAACAAATTAACCCATTTAACATTTTAACCTTATGTAACTTATAAATTGTAAGAAACGCAAATGTTTAGAAATTGAAATTGATTCAATATGACATAGTTAATGTACATCCGTATATGTATACCTTTATTTATATCTTTATATGTAATAAATAATAATGTATGGTACCATTGGTATCATACTATCATTGGTATGTACAAATAATCGATAAACATATCTGATTATTAAAACTTAAAACATTTCATGATGATCTAATTAATTATTGATTTATCGTATTCAAAGTATCAACTCATCAAATCATGGTCATGACACGATATTTATAACAATCAAAACAAGAAGCTTATAGCTTGATAATATTTGATAATGAAATAATAATACATTAATACCTTATAAATTTGTAATAAACTAATACTTCATATCTAATAAACAACAACAAGAGTGTAACCAAACTTAAAACATAACTTTATAACATGATATAGAATAAATGAGGATTTGTGTAATTGTATATAATCCGCTGTGAATCGATTTATCGTATTCAAATTAATTAAAGTAGCAACTCATCAAATCATGGTCATGACACGATCTCTAAAACAATCAAACAAGAAGTTGATAGTCTGATAATATTTGATAATGAAAAAAAATATATTAATACCTTATAAATTTGTAATAAACTAATATGATAATATATTAATATCTAATAAACAACAACAAGAGTATAAGCAAACTTGAAATATAACATATTAACATGATATAGAATAAATGAGGATTTGTAGTTGTATACAATCCAATGTCTGAATCGATTTATCATATTCAAAGTAGGAACTCATCAAACAATGGTCATGACGCGATCTCTAAAACAATCAAACAAGAAGCTGATAGCCTGATAATATTTGATAATGAAACAATAATACATTAATAACTTATAAATTTGTAATAAACTAATATACTAATATGATAATATATTAATATCTAATAAACAACAACAAGAGTATAACCAAACTTGAAATATAACATATTAACATGATATAAAATATATGAGGATTTGTGTAATTGTATACAATCCGGTGTCTAAATCAATTTATCGTATTCAAAGTAGCAACTCATCAAATAATGGTCATGACGCGATCACTAAAACAATCAAATAGGCAGCTGATAGCCTGATAATAATTGATAATGAAAAAATATTACATTAATAACTTATAAATTTGTAATAGACTAATATACTAATATGATAATCTATTAATATGTAATAAACAGCAACAATAGTATCACCAAACTTGAAATATAACATATTAACAAGATATAGAATAATTGAATAATTAAGGATGTGTAATTGTATATAATTCAATATGAACCGAACCGACATTGAACCGGGTAAACCCGCCTCTAAACCAACCCGTTTCGAACCGATCCGACAATAACTCGAACTGATATGAACCGAACCGACATTGAACCGGGTAAACCAGTCCATGAAATGACCCATTTCAAACCATCCGATAATGATCCACACTGATATGAACCAAACCGGCATTGACCCGGGTAAACACACCCCTGAACTAACCTATTTCAAACAGATCCGATAATGACCCGAACCGTTTATAACCCGAACCGACATTGACCCGGGTAAACCCTCCCCTGAACCGACCCATTTCAAACCGATCCGATAATGAATCGAACCGTTTATAAACTGAACCGTCGTTGACCCAGGCAAACCTGCCGCTGAATTGACCCGTTTCAAACCGATCCGATAATGAACCGAACTGTTTAAACTGAACCGAATTCAAAGTGCACCAAAATAAATCAAAACCAAACCGTTACTAATCAAAATCGAACCGAATCGACCCGCCGGCTAAATGAAACCGTTTCAACCCGAACCGCTTCAAACTGAACCCGATTCAAACCAAACCGCCTAACCGAATTGACACCCCTATGTCTTACTCATTCCTCCTACTCACTAGATGATATAAGAACTCGTGATTCGAATGTGCTTGTACCCACTTTGAATGGATTGGCCATCACAAACCCCAATCAGTCAATCATTCTCACTCCATCGCCAATAGACGTTAGTTCTCTTCGAGATATTATTGGTTGTTTGTGTTACTTTGTGCTTACAAGCCTCATTTCCATATAATCTTGTCACCCAGTCAGGCAGTCATATTAAATCTTGTATACCCTTTCCTTTTTTTTTTTTTTTGAAAAATTGCCCACAATAATCCGAACTTTGCTCCGTTCGCTCAAAATAATCCCAACTTTCGATTATTTTTTTAACAAAGCAAACTTTATACCCTGATCATTCTAAATGATCTCAACAGGTTATCCAACTTGCTATTACAAGTTACCAGACACATGTCACTCCTTAATTGGTCTAAAAAAAAAATACATTAATAAAAGAAAAAATCTAAACCAAAAAAAAAAAAAAAAAAAAACAAAACCAAGCCCTGGCAGGTGGCTGCCCCTGTCATCGCCACCCTTCCCCTCTTCGAATCCAGCCACCTCTTCCTTTCCCCTCCCCGATTTCGGCCAACCCTTCCCTTCATCTCCCCGATTCCGGCCAGCCCTTCCCTTCATCTCCTCGATTATGAGTTGCTGCTTTTGCTTTGTCGGAGATTCCCGCAAGTGATCTACAATTGGTGATTCCGGTTCTCCATCCCTTCCTCTCCTGAATCCGGCCACATCTCCGGTAGGGTTATCGTGGGTAGGGATGGGTATAGTTGGGTCATGGGGGCTGGGTTTTAGAGATGGGGATGGGTGGATCGTCGGGATGGTTGGGTTCGCCGGGCGTCGGCGGGGTTAAGGTCAGCTGGTGGGGACCGGTGGGTTAGGGGAGGGGTGGCTGGGGCTGCCAATTTTTTTTTTTTTTTTTAAATTTTTTGATTAATTTTTTTTTGGCCTATCACGTGGAAACACGTGTGCAAATAATTCCAAGTCATAAATGTTAACCTGTTTAGCCGGTTTCAAGTCACTTGGGACTGTTTAAAATTAATGGGGCATAAAGTTAGGATTATTAAAAAAAATAATCAAAAGTTGGGATTATTTTGGGCGAATGGAGCAAAGTTCGGATTATTTTGGGCAATTTTTACTTTTTATTTATTTATTTATTTTTATTTTTTTTTACAAGAAGATGAATATTATCATTAATAAATAGCCATATGACATCTATAATAATAATAATAAAGATTTGTAAACCACAGATCTAGAGAAAAAACATAACTTTTACAGTCAAAATCATAACTATTTTGCATATCGGGCATAGCTCACACTCCACCGCTTCAAACTTGACGCGAGCAGTGGTTCACGGTCTTTGCATCTTTCGAAGTAGAGATATTCGTAATATGTGATGATGTTTTGATCCTCCGTTTTTTTATTTTTTTTATTTTTTATAAAAAAATAAAAATAAAGATGCATCACTTTCTACATATGTTTTAACTTAGATGTCCATTTTTCATATTTAGATAATATTAATATTCTTTACTTCTCTCCTATCACATGCATCCTCTTTTTTTTTTTTTTTTCCTTCTTTTTATCTCTCCCATCTCTAAAAATTGTACTGGAAAAAATTGGTTGTGAGTGTTGAATGGAGAGAGATACAGAGAGATGACAACTAAAAAAAGAAATATAACATTTGTTACACATGATGTGTATCATTCATTTATAATAAATATTACACATAATATGAAACGGACCTAGTAAATAGTTATCCATTGTATTTTACTTCCACTGCACGTCTGCATGTGTCACACCCTTGAGTACTCGAGTTGGATTGTAATAAAGGATTAAGTAAGATCTAATAAGAACATCAAAGCCTAGCAAACCCTAAGAGCATAGCGTCATTAACCATTTAGGTGGTTATTAGGAGAAAAAGTGTTTAAATATTATTAACAATTGTAGAGAGAGAAAAAGGAGAGAGAGAAAACAATAACCTGGTTTTAACTAGTTATTGTAACATGATTATTGAATAAAATATTCTACCCACTATTGCAAGGTTCTCCCCCTATTAAATAGGTGATGACGTGACAATGTAAGGAGTTGACACATATTATAACAATCAATGGTCAAGATGTATTTTTAATTTATAACCTTTGTATTTAATCTAAGGGCCATATTTTTCAAAATACAACTAATGATTAATTACTAACTAATTCAATCCCAAATTGCTTTAATGTTTTAAAGTCATTTTATCTAATGTTAATGTGTAATTATTAGTTTTGATTGATTATTAACATTTGCATTATTTTTCAATTTATATGATTTAAGATAGAGATTGTGTGGTGGGAGAGGGTAAGAGTAGGAGAGAGAAAATGATTAACCAAAAATTTATGGATAACCATTAGGATATATTGGTTATAAAATTGTTATAAAAATGGATACAATAGTTGTGGTTAATCATTGGATATACTCTAATGCACTTTACTTTCTTTTGTTTTTTGAGCATACCCTAATGCACTTCAAATCATTCATATTATTTTTATAGGCAATAAAAACTTTATTTGGTGGTGAACTTTCTACACAAAATATAATATGAAACGCAAAATAAAATACAGAGAACTACTATGGGGATTAACATTAAATTTCTACTTTCTACATTCCTAATTGTTTGACCTATCTCCATTTTGAAGTCGAAGTCATCAACTTTGACGGTTAATTCTCAAAGAGTCAAAGATATATATATATATATATATATATATATATATATATATATATATATAATTTTTTTTTTTTTAAAAAAATAAATTGAAAATTGTTAGATGTCTTCAAAATATTATTTTTCTAATCATCTTTTAATAATACATGATTAATTATATTATTAATCAAACATATGTTTTGAAGACTACTTAAAAACAAATGATGCAAACAATAAGAGATGGAGGGAGTAATTACAATTATGTAAAATGCATTAAATGTTCGTCGTTTGAACCTCACCAACAAAGTCATCTCTCCAAGGCTCCAACATAAACAAGGCTGTACAGTAACTAGGCTACAAGCACACAAAATGACTTGTAAGCTCCTGAGTAACAACAAGCTCAGTTGCAAACATATCAAGCTAAAATCTTTACTCCATAAGAAGGGCATACTAATAAAGACAACTTATTATAAACTAAAAAATCTCTGTAGAATGAAAAACTTCAAGCATTACCCATGTGCTAGGAAACATGGTGCTGTCTTCTTACCTGAAATAGTGAGGTATTATGTCAGATGTTAGGTCATTTACTCTGTTCCAAGAGAATGGTGTTAGAATACTGTACATACCATGCCTATAATATTATGTAATCAGACTCCTGGTTTACAGGAGGGTCTTTAGGATAGCAAGTATGGGACTCCATATTGCAGCATGGTTGTCCACATTCTCAGGAGCGTTTTTAGGAAAAACAGTATGGCTCAGCATGGCTAGTCTCTTGTATATATATACTCTTCAATATCAGTAATTGATATACACAAAAAAATTAAACACCAAAAATCTGTCCAACTTTTATCTTGGTATCAGAGCCGGGTTCCGGTCTCCGACGACTGGCAACCATCGGTTTCATCATATACCATGGAATCCGAAGAACAACCTGAAAAAAAACCATAGTGCCAAAATCAGTCACTATGGACGATCTATTGCAACTAGTTACATAGTTAAACACCAATAGATCAACCTCAGAAACCTCAAACCAAGCCATCCAAATTTCCGAAAAATTAAACCACAATAATTATACTAAGTGGTCAAAGCTAATGCAACTAGCGATTGGTGGACGGGGAAGGCTCAACCACATCACGGCCGTTCCACCGTCACCAACCGACCTAGAGATTGTTAAAAGGACTCAAAGGGACTCTATTGTCATATCATGGATAATTGACAATATTGAACCAGAATTACAGAATCAATATCTCGATTATCCAACAGCAAACGAGTTATTGAAGAGCATCGAAATAATGTACGGAAGTGGCAGGGATGGTTTACAGATCTTTGATCTTATGACCAAAGCGAACAAAATCCAGCAAGGGTCAGACGCAATAGAGGTGTATTACAGTAAACTCACCTCAATTTGGAAAGAAATAGATCGGAGATTGCCAAACCCTATGAAATGCTCAGAAGATAAAACAGTTCACAACCGTATGGCGCAACAAAACCGCCTCTATCAGTTTCTTGCGGGACTCGATGAGGCTCTTGATAAAGATCGAAGAGATCTGATTAATTCAGACCCTCTTCCAACAATTGAAGTAGCATATGCAACAATCAGGAGAGAGATTTCTCGAAAGGAAATCATGAAAAAGGAAAAAACCCCAACTGAAGACTCCGGAATTGGTAGTGGACTTGCGACCAGAGGAAAACCAGAAAAACCGAAGTTCCGGCGGGACGATGAGCAAGCATACCTCCAGTGTACCCACTGCGGGGGAACCCGACATACAAAGGAGGGTTGCTTCAAACTCATAGGGTACCCGGAGTGGTGGTCTGAACGGAAGAAAAAGGGGGAAAATCAAAGAAGCGGGAAAGCAGCCTATGCCGGTGAGTCGTCGGCCGGAGAGAAAGAAGAAGGGGGACTTGCGGCTGCCATTGTTAGCACAGGTATGGAAACTGGAAAAGAAAGGAAGGAAGGTAATGAAACCCTAACCTCCTTGTTTTATAATAAGCCCACTTACTCTTATATGCCTAAGCTCAATTATGTGCCTCCTTATAAGCTTTCTCAGCCCAATTATGTGTCTAAACCCATTCACATTAAATCAGACCCATCAAACACATGTATAACCCAGTTTATTTGTGGTCCTAAAGAAAAAAATCAAGGGCCTAATACGGATTCGGTATTTAGGCTCCTTGGAAAGTGTAAAGGAAAAAATGATGAAAAATGGATTTTAGACTGTGGTGCAACGGACACTATGACATATGATATCTCTGATCTGGAAAATCTGATTGAACCTACAAAAAATTTTGTTCAAATTGCAAGTGGAGAAAAAATCAAAGTTGAGAGATCGGGAACAATCAAATTGCCGGGTGACATCAAACTACCCAACTGTCTCTTTATTCCACATTTATCTCATAAACTTCTTTCAGTTAGTCAACTGACTAAGGAGTTGAATTGTACTATTCTAATAACATCTAATGGGTGTCTTGTGCAGGATTCTCAGACAGGGAGGATCATTGGGCGTGGTACTGAGGAGAATGGGTTGTATTATGTTGATCGGGTGCCTCAAAGTGGTTGTGCAACTTTTGTTCGCTGATCGGTTGAGCATCAACTCTGGACGTGGCATCGCCGACTGGGTCATCCATCTTTAGGGTATTTAAAAAAAATTGTTTCCTTCCCTTGTTAATGCAAAATTAAATTTTTATTGTGAGGCATGTATGTTAGCAAAAAGTCACAAACATTATTATCCTAGTAGCACTACCCGGACTGAAAAACCTTTTGTTTTGATTCATTCTGATGTGTGGGGACCTGCCCCAAAGTTTAGCAAACATGGTTTTCAGTATTATGTAACTTTTATTGATGATTGCACTAGGATGAGTTGGATATATTTCTTGAAAAACAAATCTGATGTTTGTGATACTTTTATCTCTTTTTACAAAATGGCCTAAACACAATTCCAAACACAAATCCGAATTTTAAGATCTGATAATGGAGGGGAATACAAAGACCATGAGCTTGAATCCTTTATAAACTCAAATGGCCTTATTCACCAAACCACCTGTCCGGATACACCACAACAAAATGGTGTAGCCGAACGGAAAAATCGAACACTCTTAGAAATGACCCGAGCAATGATATTTGAATCAAAAGTTCCCTCTTCTTTTTGGCCTAAAGCCATAGCTACAACAAATTACCTTACAAACCGACTTCCTACAAAAAGCCTTGACCTAGCTACTCCCATAGACACTCTTAAAACTCATACGAGTATTCCCCCTACTCACTCGATAGCTCCTCGCGTCTTTGGTTGTATAGTCTATGTCCATCTTCCTAAACGTAGTTGGGATAAGTTATCCCCTCGTGCCATTAAATGTGTCTTTGTGGGATATGATGTGCATCAAAAGGGATATCGATGTTTCGACCCAGTCACAAACCGAATGTATACGACTATGGATTGTGACTTTGTTGAACACGAATACTTTTATCACCATCTTAGATCTCAGGGGGAGAGCGTCGATGATGATCTAAGTTGGTTAACCTACTCTAGAGTTGGTACTAATCCAACTGAACAGGAAAACATAACCGATGTTACTGCCGAGACAACTGAAAACATAATACAGTTCGATCAAATCGGCACTACCACTAATGATCCAATGTCATTGTCTGAGAATCCATTAAGTGATCAGGTTTGTACTCCCACTCCTGACTTCTTCCATGATATTGAGCCTACTGATCTTTCTCTTGAAAATGCACCCATAGAACAGCCTGAGACTCTTGACACTCCTGAACAACCGGAAGAAGGAAATGTGGAATCTGGGTTTGAGCACGAAGATAGGCCTCGAAGATATGTGTTTCCATCAAGGAGCACAAGAGGAATCCCTCCAAAGCGGTATGATCCAGAGTTTGAGGCTCAAAAGTCAAAATACCCCATGAAAGATTCTGGTAAAGGTAACTTATCTCAAGGGGCTAAGGCATATAATGCTGCAATCTACTCAGAGAAAACTCCAACAACTACTGATGAAGCCCTTAAAAGCAAAAACTGGAGAAGGGCCATGGAAGATGAGATCAGTGCACTAGTCCGAAACAACACATGGGAGAAGTGCATTTTGCCTAATGGATAAAGGCCCGTAGGGTGCAGATGGGTATTCACCATAAAACACAAAGCTGATGGAAGTATTGAAAGATACAAGGCGCGACTTGTAGCTAAAGGGTATACTCAGACATACGGGATAGACTATGATGAAACTTTTTCCCCTGTCACAAACTTTAACACAATCAGAGTACTCTTCTCCATAGCTGCAAACAAAGATTGGCCTTTATACCAGTACGATGTGAAAAACGCATTTCTACATGGAGATCTCACTGAGGAAGTTTATATGGAAGCTCCTCCAGGTTTCTCTCAAGATTTCGATACTGGAGAAGGATGCAGATTGAAGAAATCTTTGTATGGTCTGAAACAGTCCCCTAGAGCCTGGTTTGGAAGATTTACTACGGCAATGAGAAAGTTTGGGTATAAACAAAGTAATGCTGATCACACCTTATTCTTTCGGAAAAACGGGGAGTTAACTACGTGCCTTATTATATATGTTGATGACATGATCATTACATGGGATGACAAGAAGGAGATAGAGCGACTAAAGATGGAACTTTTCCAGGAATTTGAGATGAAAGATCTGGGAAATCTCAAATATTTCCTAGGAATAGAGGTACTCAGGTCACGGAAGGGTATCTTTATATCTCAGAGGAAATATATTCTTGATTTCCTGACAGAAATAGGTATGATTGACTGCAAACCAGTTGACATTCCTATGATGATGAATCATGGGCTTCAAATCATTGAAGGAGCCGAATCAGTAAATCAAACACAATATCAGAGATTAGTTGGAAAACTGATATATTTATCACATACTAGGCCAGATTTAGCCTATGCTGCAGGGGTGGTTAGCAGGTTCATGCACAAGCTGCAGAAACAAAATCTGGAAGCAGTCTACCGTATCACGAAGTACCTAAAAGGAACATCTGGAAAAGGGGTTCTATATAAAAATCATGGTCATCTTGAACTACATGCTTTCACAGATGCTGATTGGGGAGGTGATCGAGATAGCAGGAAATCTACTTATGGGTATTTCAGTCTAGTTGGTGGAAATTTGGTTTCCTGGAGAAGTAAAAGACAGAAAGTAGTTGCCATGTCCAGTGCTGAAGCAGAATTCAGAGGAATAGCAAAGGGAATCACGGAAGTCCTATGGCTCAGAAAATTGATGTCTGAATTGGGATACAAACCAAAGAAGAGTTGCAAATTGTACTGTGACAACAAAGCTGCAATTCAGATATCAGAAAATCCAGTCCAACACGATCGTACAAAGCATGTAGAGATTGATAGGCACTTTATCAAAGATCATTTGGAAGCAGGGGTGATAAGTCTGCCTTTTGTGAGATCTAAGGATCAACTAGCAGATATCCTAACTAAAGCAGTTACGTCCCAAGTTTTCGAGGAAGCATTGTCCAAGTTGGAAGTTGGAGACCCTACTACCCAACTTGAGGGGGAGTGTTAGAATACTGTATATACCATGCCTATAACATTATGTAATCAGACTCCTGGTTTACAGGAGGGTCTTTAGGATAGCAAGTCTGGGACTCCATATTGCAGCATGGTTGTCCACATTCTCAGGAGCTTTTTTTAGGAAAAACAGTATGGCTCAGCATGGCTAGTCTCTTGTATATATATACTCTTCAATATCAGTAATTGATATACACAAAAAAATTAAACACCAAAAATCTGTCCAACTTTTATCTAATGGAAGAGCAAAAATTCTTAAAGAAAATACTTCGTATGTTTATAGGTTTACATTTCATTGCCTTGCTAAAATATTAATGATTAATGGTAATTCGCAAGTAATAAAAATGATTAACGATATATAACTCGCGCGCTATTTGGCTATACAACAATTCCATCACACTCTTCTTGGAACTTGTCAGTTGTCCCCTCTGAGGCGCACCTATAATTATTTGCAGCCTGCTTGATCTCTTGGTTGTACTCGTTTGCTATTCATTCTCGGATTCAGACTCAGACTCGGTCTCAAACTCAAGGGTCTTGGGGCATCAGCCCATCTAAAAAGGGCAGGGAGGTGGTAGCACCCGGTTGTAGATCAGATCTTTGAGATGCTCACACCCTTTAATCTTAAGTTGTTCAAGGGAAGAAAGTTTTAATAGTGCTGCTTTAGGGAAAGATTCCAAACCATCGCATTGATATATATATATAAAGATATTTGACAGATGTTTAACGAGATACACACTCTGCTGAGTGTTCAAAACTTTTACATGCTTCAACATGGAGGGATTGAAGGGCTGCTAAGTGCTCGATCCCTTGAGGAAGATTCACAAGCTTAGGGAGATATTGAAGTTTCAGGTCACGGAGTCTGGTAAGGAATTTCCAAGGTAAATGACTATGATTGCCATCCTCTAGCTCTTCCAGATCATAAAGTTCCGACAAATGAAGTGTCTGCAGTGCAGTGAGATGCTCCAATCCTCCCCCACAAAGGCTCTTTAAGTAGCGCCATTTCTTAACTTGCAGGGAACAAAGGGATGAGGACAGGCGACTCCGAAATAGCTCTTCGACTATAGAAAAGCTTTTGAGATTCTCATTGTTGCAAAATTTTAAGGTTAGATCATTAGAACTGGTCAAGCAGCATGAACTCAGAAATGATGAAGAACGGGGTGCATAATTATCAAGGGAAAGAATCAAACTTCTGACTTTTGACACGACAGGAATGGAGGTCATGAAAGGGCACTTGCTGATGCTTAAAATAAAGAGACGAGGAAATGTATGACAAATTGGGCTACACCTATAATTTAAGCCCATCACTCCCGACTCTGATGAGGATTTTTGCTATCTTTTTAATTTTGGCAAACACTCTAAATGGAGCTTTTCCAAGCACGGAAAGAAAGTTGATTGATCCGGTGATGAGTTACCAATCTCTATATCCTCTAGATTATCCAACCTAATGAGGTTAAGAGTTTTCAAATGATGAAGTTGTCTTAACAAAGGAAGATTCAGCAAGTTTGCACAATCACCAAGCCAGAATTCTACCAGCTTTGGAAGTGATGCCTCCAAGTCTTCTATTGACTCCCAATTTGGAAATGCCACACCACCATACCCATATAGATTGAAATGTATAAGATTACAGTTGGGTTGAAGGCATTCCAGCAATAATGTTGAACCTGCATCATTGTTGAAGAGACAGCTTATTTCTATATGTATATCTATCAGATGTATCATACCTCTGACACATTTAGCTCCTTCGGTGACCTGATGTGTCGAAAATCCACGGACACTTATCTTAAGACTGCCTCCAACATTTGTAAGTGCTTCCAAGTCTTGAAGCCTTCCTCTGTTTGCCTGTCCCTCTTGACTGTGGCTAACAACAAACTGCGGTAACTTTTCAAGGCACGTTAACTTACCCATCCTCGGAGGCATAAGAGCCAGCCTTCCACAACCTTCAATATCCAAGCACCTTAGTTTCTCTAATTTGCTCAACTTTGTTGGCAACTCTTTTAAACTCCAGCACTCAATTAGTTTCAAGGTCTGCAAGTTATTTAGTTTGCAGACTGTTGCAGGGAGAAACTCCAACTCATAAATATGAGACAGGTCAAGATATCTCAAATGAACCAGTTTGTCTATTGTCCTAGGCAAGGTTTTGATCTCCCGAGTTAAACATAATGCCCCCAAGCATCTTGCCTTTTTAAGTAATTCTCTGACCTCCCCAGTTCCGGCTCCAGAGTAATTATGCCACAGCTTAAATAATTTGCGTATGTTATCTATCTCATTGAAAGAGCTTGGATTATTTCGGATCTCCATTCTACCAAAGGATAAATGTTGAATTTTTTTCCTTCAACTCCCTCACATTATCTACCACCAATATCTCCCCACCTACTACATCTTGAGCAACATCATGCATAAGATTGAATCTTGCACGCCACAATTTCACCATTGTGGTCCCTTTCAGCATCCTGAAAAAAAACACCTTTGCAAAAGAATCATAAAGTACTCCTCTGCAGCAACTTTAACTCTTTGACCCTCTGAAGGTGATAAGAAACCGTGTGCCATCCACAGGTCTATTAAGTTCTCCTTGTCTATCCTATAATTCTTAGGAAATAAGGCACAGTAACTGAAGCAATTCTTCAATTGCAAGGTAAGATGATGGTAACTAAGCTTCAAAATTGGCAATATACCATCGTTATCATCCTTTTTCATCTTTATCAAATCTCAACTTCTAAATGAAAGCCAAGTGCTTTTAGTCTGGCCATAAAGAAGACTTCCAACAACCCTTATGGCAAGGGGAACATTGGCACACTTCTGGAGGACATGTTGTCCAATGTTGATGAGGTCATCATCCATCTGCTCGTTTTAATTTTTAAATGCCATTTTTTCAAACAAACTCCATGAATGTTTTGGAGAGAGACCCTGCAATTCATAAGTTGGACCTGCTCCTACTATCGTAGCCACCAATTTAGAGCGTGAAGTGACCACAACCCTACTTCCACTTTCACCACCAATATACAAGTTCCTAAGTTTAAGCCATTCATGACGATCCTCATTCCACACATCATCCAAAATAAGCAAGAATCTTTGCCTATTAATCTTCCACCTCACTTGGCGTTGGAGCTCTTCAACTTCAAGGTGTTGATTTGCGGTTGAATCTAAAAGTTTACAAAGAATATCCCTGATATCAAATTCAACAGAAACACAAACCTACATCCTCAATGGAAACATTGTCACGATTCTATCGTCATTATATACCAATTGAGCAAAGGGTAGTTTTCCCTAAACCACCAATCCCTACTATTGTGACAAAATGAACAGCATCTCTAACACTGGAATCCAGCAACATTTCTATAATTGCCTTCTTATCCGCATCTCTTCCAATAACATCCTCAGCATACACAAAAGAATGACTGTCCTCCCTCCTCTTTGTCACTATTCTCCCCCTGCTACTAGCACATGGCGACCTAGAGTAATAGTCGCGATGATCCTTGGAAATGTCATCCAGCCTCTCCCTAGTCATCTTGACCTCCCGAAATGCATTACGAGCAAAAGCCAACTGGTTAGAACGAGAGAAGAAAAGGAGAACCTCTTTTAGTGTATTACCTGTTGACATGAGCCTCTTGCGTTGAGCTATGGAGGCAATCCTGTCAAACAGATCATAGCTTTTCCAGCCAATCGTGCTCCACGTTTCATCTTGGAACTAGTTGCCTCTCTTGCTCTTCCGCATCAATTAACACGGCCTTGATAGTGGACATGGTGCTTTTGAGTTTTTCAACTTCAGATCTGAACCTGCCAACAGACCCAAATTCCTTAACAAAGGAAGAATCTAGTACTTGAATTATGGTTTGTGCCAATTAGAAGTGTTGCAGGATCCATCTCCATCTCTATCTCTATCTCTCTGTTTTGGCCAAGCAAGTTTGGCGTGGACTGAAGAAGCACAACCAATCAATCTAAATCTATTCAATCCAAATGTTTTTCCGTAAATTGTTCATAATGTAGACTAATACATAATGAAAGATGCTAATCGTCAAAATAATGAAATGATAAAACAATTACGAAGTACTAAATCACTGCATATTATTGCTATAGACAGTTGACTGTGTATGACCTTACCAATAATTTCCATGCTAATAATAGCGATGAATAGTACGTAGACCATCGTATTCAAATTTGGCGGCCTTCAAGTTGAAGGATAAAAAATTTCAGATTTTTAAGATTTGATAAGTATATTTCAATCTTTGTTATACACTTATACGTATCGTTTCCTCACTCATTGAGTCATTAATGTTGACAACTACAGCATTTAAAAAGTAAAAACTCCACTATAAAATAAAATACTTTTTTAAGGAACTATAAAATAAAATACTTGGTATATGACAAGTAATATAATCTCCCATAATTTTTTATTTTTTTATTTTTAAAAATGAGTTTTTAACTTTGATTTTGTACACTATTCATAGTTTTTATTTTTTACCCTTTTTTTTTTCACATGTATAAAACAAAATGATATGAGAATACAAGGTACTTCCTTAGTATCTAAATAAATACATTACTTTGATTTGCACAATGTCATTATATAACTTTGACTATTAATATTTTCACCTAATAACATTTGATTTTTAAGGAGTATGTATAAGTATATATAAATCAAGTCAAAGTTAGTATGTGAATAATGCAAAAGTAAAAGTGGATCAAGTAAAAGTAGTCAAAAACTAAACATAAAAAGTAGAACTAAAAAATCTAAGTTGGTCTCTAGAATTGGTTAATAATAATTTTTTTTCCTTGGAAAATTAGCTCTAAATAATAATAGTACAAACTTGGCTTGATAAGCACAAAATAAACTGAGTTATATGCTATAAATATATTAATTAAGTTACTAAAAATATTGACATAGGACTTTTGTCACAAATTACATATTAATATATTCGAATAGCCATCATATATCCTGTCAAAAAAAAAAAAAAAAAAAAAAAATTGCCATCATATATTACCATCTACCAAAATGAGTCCTAAGAGCATGCTCAAGCTACATAACTTGTGGTCATTCATATTAAATTTACATATGCAATTTCGATTGCCTACAAAAACACCACAACAAATGTCCGATACAAGGCAATAGATTAAATAATCTCTATTCCATAAGCCACCTTTTGAGAAGATTAGCGTCCACCTTAACTTGAAATATGTATTCTTTTTTAAATGGTTGCCATACATGGTTTTGAAATTTGAAAAAGCATCATATGCTAGTTTCAGGAAATGCACTTACAATGCATAAAATTTCATTCATTCAACAATATGGCTTTGCCAACTCAAATAAGGTAAGATTGCCGTAGCTTCACCATCAAGCACAATGAGACTGTCCTTTTTGAAGCACCTGGTGGTAAACTTTGCACTGGCAAACAAAATTAAACAAAAAATTGAAGTCAAAAACTGAATTTCATACTTATTTAACTGGAAGATGATTCCAAAAGTCATGGTAAGTTACTTACAGGTAGTTCTGTTTGAAATTTCTTATGTTTAATGCTTGCACCTCACCAACAATCTCATCTTCAACATACACAGGTTGTCTAAATTGCAAATTTTGCGAAACATAAACAGCACCAGGCTAGCATACAAAAAATTTAGAGATTAGGCCTCAAAACCATCCAGACACATGCATGTTGTAATGCAAAAAGTCCAAATGTTAACGTCATGCAATTGTACAAAGCATGGTAGCACTAGTGTGATGTGCGTATAAAAATGTGTTTTTTATGGAGCTGATCTTATGCAGGCCTACTGTGAATCTGTGACTTGCCTGTTTCTTTTGTTCTGCAAGCTATAATGGAGAAAGTCATAAATTGAACAGATATTGGAGCATCTTAAGTTTGCTGAAGTGTTGTTTCCCTTTATATATCTTGCAGTTCCCCATTAATCCAGAGCTTAATGTCAATAGAATGCAAGCCTTACGTTGGAAAAGTAGTGGGTGACTGGCTGGGGTAGATAGGTTCAAGAATCCTAAAGTGCCCCCCTGTATAGGTGGTGTTGCATTTTCAAGCATTATAAACACATCACGTAAGACCAAAATGGAAATAAAACCCCTCCAAGTAAAAAATATGTTAAAAGTAATCATATTAATTAAATATCCTAATACAGTAATACTAAAAGTAGAACACCAAAAACCCATTTAGTAAGAGCACAAACATTTAGATAGAAGGAAAGAATGAATATGACTGACTTACAAAATGAGAGGAGATAATGCGAGGAAATAAGGAAGCAACTAGCATCCCATGAACAAGTCGATCTTGAAATCCGGCAATTTGAGCACACTCAGTGTCAAAATGAAGAGGATTCATATCTTTACTGACTTTAGAATATTCAACAACATCCTCAATTGTAAATATTCTCCTCTGCTGTAAAACATCTCCTACTTTCAATGTAGGCTCTGCCTTAGAACAAAACTTGTTGGAGGAGAGAAAGTTTGACGCAATGCGATTGGACACCATCCTCATCATTATTCATTCATCAATATCATCAAGTTCTGAAAAGACACAATGCAAACCCTGCTAAAGTTAGGCATCTATTTCATATAAAGGAATTTTAGGTGTGCAAGTATATATAGTTTCTTCATCTTTTGTCTGTTTAATTTTTTGTATATACACTGCTGTAACACCTTCTAATTACTTCATCTTTCCAATATAATCATCATTAGATCATGGTATCAGAGTACATGTGCTAATTAATCACATCAAAGTAATCAGAATCATTATTTTCTAGCTTGCAGAGCAATCCTGACTGGCTTAACAGCAATTTGGAGCTGGCAGAATGAAGTGTGATTATCACAAATGGAAAAAAAAACAGCTCCTACATCTTTTTGTTGATTGAGGCACTCAAATATAGAGCTTCATTCACAATGGTGGTGCTAAATGCCCGAATCTTTGGGCAAGAGCGCTTAAGAACAACGTGAATCTCAATTGATTTGCCCTACTTATTGTTTGAGGCACTCAAAGGAGCTTTCCAATCACACAAAATCTCTGGTAAAGAACTCTAAAGAAAAATTTGAAAGCCGAATCCAAGTTGGGTTTCATTGAAGGCACCTTAAAGAGACATCCAGCTGCCAATAATCTGAATATGATAGTTGTAGTGTACTAGTGTAGCATTTTAATCCACTGAAATCCACATCCATCCTAGAGTAGCCTATCAGGACAATGTAGAAGATATGTGGAAAAAGCTAAAGGATATGATCATAGAAGTGGACCAAAGGCCTTACAAGCTTGAATTACAATTGATTGATCAATCTAAGACAATAAAGTAGTCTATTACATAGCATAATTCCAATTTCCAAGTTAGAAAGTTGGGCTCCTAAGGTGCAATGAAAAGATCATGAAAATAATGGAATATATGAGAATGTACAAGAGCCTGCTGGGGCAGTGTAATGAGTATGGAGCCCTAAATATCTAATGTTCTAGGACCCTTAATGATCTAGACAAAGCTTTTGCTACAGTTTTCCACAAACAAACAAAAAAAAAAAAAAAAAAAAAAAAAAAAAAAAGCAATGGGAAACCTCAGGAATGAAAGATGAGGTGAAGATTGACAAAGCAACCACTTTAGCCAAGGCCATTGGTAGTGCACACTGCAAAGGCGGGCTAAAGATGAAGAGCTAAACAGAGTTTATGTCCCTACCCCTCTCTCAGCTCTGTCATGCCGGATTCCACTTGGAAGCCTCACATAAAGCAATCTAACAAAGCCGCAAAACACTCCAAACTTAGAGTAAAAAAACAAATCACAACTTCAATTCTTCATCCCGTTGCAAGTTTGCAACATTCAGGTACATCACACCAAAATTTAGGCAAAGACAATGAGATATAATCAGGTACATTGCATTGCCAAAGTAAAAGAACTATTTTCTAAAAATGCATATTATGTTAAAGTTCTAGACTAACTATGGAGTAACATGAAGTACGAAGTACAAGTTTAACTTCGTATAATTGGCAAAGGTTTCAATAGTAAGCAAAAATAAAATCACAATTGACCACAATATCGACGTTATAATAACACAAAAATATGCGACAAAATTGTTGATAGAGGGGGAAAAGATGATTAGTTAGTTAACTGAGCAATTGATACATTTCATGTTTTCAGTACAAATGATATATCAGTAATGGAAAAAAATATCCGGGGTACTAAAGCTTTGAGCCAAGCACAAAATAGTGGTGGATCGAGTTCGATAGGATTTTAGGCAAGCTCAGCTAGAGCTCCAAGTTCACTTGGGTTCCAATAGCCTCTAAAATTTTTGGCTCGGCTTGTAGGCTTGAATAGGATCGAAAAATGCAACAAGCCAACAACTTGGCAACGAAATTTGACTCAAATATCAAATCAAGCTTGAAAAAGCACATAAAATCCTTCCCACTTAAGAATATCAGTAAATTGCACATAACAAATTTCTAGCAGCAAAGTCGCTCTTCATAATCATTGATCAATACAATACTAACAAATAATTAACGATAGTGTGAAATCAAACCCCAGATTATGAAATTGAAATTCGACGACTTAGGCTCTGTTTGTTTTAACAGAAAACAATCTCAATGTAAAATAGTTTTCCAAGGAAAACATTTTCCGGAGGAAAACTCAAATGTGGCTTAATTTTCCTTGTTTGTCTGTATGGAAAGTCATTATAATAATCATCAGATTATGAAAACAAAATGGCAGCATTTTGGTATTAATACTTGCACATTATATTTCACTCAACTTGGAACACATGACAAACTGATCGGCACAGAAGATCTAAATGCAAATTCAATATCATTTTAATCAAATAAAAGGAAATTAAACAACATTAAGCCAAAATAGTCAATAAAACTCTCTTAGGCATTTCAACAAACAGGTTGTATGCATTGCATTTCAGAATAATTTGCTACTAAATCTATATAACCTCATTAGCACAAACTAATTTGATTGCAAAATTAACCCTAACTCACAGCCAATCACACAAATATATTTTGGGATAAAGGATATCAATTTTATCAAATTACACACAAAATCGCAAGGTATATCCTAGTTAAACACAAACCAAACCATGAAATATTAGTTATGGATTACCTCAGAAACTGCTTCAATGGAGGAGAGAAAGCTGGAGAATTCAGATTGCGCTTCAATGGAGAAGAGAGGGAAAGATGCAGCGTAAAAGCGAGAGCATTCAACTGAGTTTGAAAGGGAGAAGAGGAAATGGAGTGTTGAGAGTCAAAACTGTAATCGGTGTAGTATTTGATCAGGCAACCAACAAACATTTTTTCCCAACTTAAATTATTTTTATTGAAATTAAATCAATTATTCTCATCGTAAGAATATACTACGTATTCGTTAAACTTAAATTATTTTTAAGAACCGTTTTTCATCTAAGATTTTTAATTATTTGATTTATGATATTTAATAATTTAAGACAAAATTACAAAAGTTTAATATTTATTTTTTATTTACTATAATTTATAATGAATTTATTAAATATAAATAAATTGTAAATATGATATTTTTTCCGTTATATAAAATCTTTAATGTGAAATGATAAATTTTTAATAATTTAAATTTTAAATCATTATTCATTGTTTTACCATATTTTTTATTTCGATAGAATCACCAATCTCGTCCACAACCAAACTACTACATCAATGGATAAATTAAACCGTGAAATGTTAGCCAAACTGAAATTGATATAAATTAAATCCTTACATTTATATATAATAAATCAATATATTTACCAATAAATGAAAAATTGTTGCGATATAAAATCAAATTTATGCATTGGAATTTTTTCATCATCTCCAAAAATAACCAAAGTCATCTATATATTAAGTATACAACATCCTACTGTATGTCATTACATAAACAAATAATCATTAAGTATCCTAAATAAATACAATGTAACTAATAATTACAAATATAAATTTAAACATAAGATTTTAAAAATTACCAGGACATTGATGACCTAAAACTAACACAAAATTCGCTTGATGGGGTTTTGTATTGATATGAAATTTTATTTGTGTCATATGATGTGTAATCTGCATGTAAAAAAACATTTAGTAAATAAAACATAAACATATAATCGTTGAGTATCCCAAATTAATACAATGTACGTAATAATTAGATATACTAATTAAAATAGGATTTTAAAAATTAAGCTAAAAATTACCCGTCCATTGATGACCAAAAATTAACACAAAATTACTAACACAAAATTCGCTTGATGGGGTTTTTTATTGATACTAAATTTTATTTTTGTCGTATGATGTGTCAATTTATAATGGTAGGTATCACAAATTTTATTTTAAATATAATTAACAACAATTTGTATTTCTTATCATAAATACTATCAAAATTTATCTTATAATGACAGGTATAAAACTTTATTATAAGCGTTTATCATTTAAATATTTTTTCGTATATTTTTTTTGGATTTCTTATACTCGTAGTATTGAATTAATAAATTTATCTTTTCCTATATTTTTACTTTATTTTTTTCATTAAAATAATTTAATTCGTGGATTATAATCTACGTGGCATTAAAATTTTAGATATATCAAATCTAATTCGTTACTTTTATCTAGGTGGCGATATAATTTTTTAATTCAAAAAAAAAATGCAAATCTTTCTTTTTATTGGTCGAAATAAGTATATTTCTTACGTGGCGCTCCGAATACTCTCCAAAAATGCCTACTTTATATATATATATATATATATATATATTAGATTATAAAATTTATTTTTATTAATACTCTAAAATTTATTATTTTGGTGGGGGTAGCAAGGATCTCCAACGAAAAAATCATTGAAAAAGTTGGAAGATTATGTGCTCTCTTAAATATATTGGTGGTATGGTTTTAGGCCCTATTCTTTTGAGCTATTCCGCTCTATTATGCTTTGCTCTACCCTGCTGAAAACTGCTCTGCCCTGCTCTGCTCTGTGTTGGAAGCCCTGCTCTGCTTTGCTGAAATCTGCTCCGCTTTGCTGAAATCTGTTTTGCACTGTTCTGCTGAAATCTGCTCTGCAGTGCTAACTCTTGCTCTGCTCTGCCCAGAAGCTTAAAAGAACAAGGCCTTAGAGACCTCACGGTTTTTAATGACGCACTTGTAGGTCGTCAACTTTAGCGTTTAATTAAGGCCCCTGATTCTTTGTTTAGGAAAGTCATGAAAGCGAAGTACTATCTAAATTGTGATTTTATTGATGCATCTTTGGTTACTCTTGCAGTTATTCTTGGAGGAGTATTTGGAGTTAAAAAGCTTTGGTTAAAGAAGGTGTCCTTTGGAGAGTTGGTAATGGTGCGAAGATTAATATATGGAGTGACCCCTGGTTAGTAGATGAGGAAGGTCGAATGGTGTTGAAGTAGTGCAAGACCTCGTGGATTTGGAAAGTATAAGGTGGAAAAGGGACATAATTGGGGAGAATTTTAATGAACGTGATGTTCGATGTATTCTCGCAGTTCCCCTTAGTTCTTGGGGGAAAAGTGATGAACACTCACTTGGGCATTCTCGAGGGATGGAATTTACTTTGTTAAGACTACATATCTTCTGGGCAAGGGTTGTAATTTGAATGACTTTCATCAGGCATGGGTTGAAATTTGGGGTATGGATGTGAGTCCAAAGGTGAGGCCTTTCCTTTATAGGCTTTGCACCGATACGCTGTCAGTCAAAGCATTGCTGAAAAAGCGTCATATGTTGGATGATGTTGCGTGTCTGTGGTGCGGGGTGGAAGATGAGATTGTGGGGCATGCTATTTTTAAGATTGTGGAGCTGTGGGTGGAGTATGGGTAACTAACAACAACGAATAAGGTCGTATTATAAATTACAAATGTAAAAACAACAAATAATGATTTAGGATTTAAATTAGGATATTTTGGATTTTAACACCTGACAAAAACCCAAAAATGGGTTTTAACACCTCTAAAAAAAAAGTTTTAATTTAACACCAGACAAATGTTACGAAAATGGTTTTTATCACCACTTAACGGTTTCCGTCCAAAAATTCCGTTAAGTGGGGTCTACAGTGACACGTGTCACCATTTTACATGTTTTCAAAAAATAAAAAAAATAGATTTTTTTTTAAAAGCTCAAACAACCAGAAGGCAGCCACCAACGGTGGCCCTTCTTCCCGGCCAACCCCCGAACCACCCTCTCCCAGCGCCTCGTCACCGGGTTTCGCCACCGAACCTTTCATAACACCGGAATTCGACGTACCCTCGCTTCCCGCAGCCGAAATTCGAGAACCCCCACCGAAAATCGTGCCTAGAAATTGGCGACGAATTTCAGGGGTGGTGGTAGCAGCCTTCCTTCCCCAAAAAAGCCGGCGAATTTGGCCATTAATGGCTGAAATCGACCGGTTTTGGGGCTGAGTGGCCTTAACCGGCCGATTTCGGCCATCAATGGCCGATTCAATGGCCAAATATTCGGGCTTGGTGATGGAGGTGGTCGGGCTAGGGTGGTTTAGGGCCGCGGGAAAAGGGTGGGGATGGGTTTAGGTCGGCCGGTGAGGGAGGGGGAGGTGGTGCGCCGGTCGTTACGTCGCCGACTGTGGGTCAAGCTGAAGAAGAAGGTGGCAGTGGTGGGGCGGCGGTGGGGCTAGGGTGCCTGGGTAGTTTTAGGTTTTTTTTTTTAATTTTTTTGTTTTTTTCTATTTTTCGGCCAATAATAAAGCGACACGTGGCTCATGAACCCACTTAACGGATTCCTAAACGGAATCAGTTAAATGGTGGTACAAACCATTTTTATATTTTTTGTCAGGTGTTAAAATAAAAGTTTTTTTTGGGGGGTGTTAAAAACCATTTTCGGGTTTTTATCAGGTGTTAAAATCCAAAATATCCTTTAAATTATTAATAAAACAAAAATAATATTTTCATATTAAAGATTTTATCCTAATATGTGACGAATAAGATAACATATTTACAAAATATTTATATTTAGTAAAACCAATAGCCACGTAACTAACAACAACGAATAAGGTCGCATTAAAAATTACATTAAAAAACATAAAATTATACTTTTCTAATAGGCAATAGAAGTTCAATTAAATTATTATGTGGGTTTTTTTTTGGTCTAAAAGTATTGAATAGTAAAATGAATCAAATAATAATAATAATAATAATGATAATAATAATAATAATAATAATAATAATAATAATAATAATAAAAAACTTAGAATCTAACTAACAAAAATACCTTTTTTCAAATTTATGTATTTAATAACCGTGCATCACACGGAACTTCATCTCATTTGAATTAACAGTAGGCAAAAGCAGCCAAATAAAATTAGCTAGTTTTTTTTTTTTTTCTTTTTTTTTTTTAACAACGGTCCAAAAAGGAGACTAGCTCCCAACTGACTCAAAACAACAACGAGAAAATTTAAACCTCTTGACCAAACTAATACAAGAACTAAAAAGGGGATTGGAGTTACAGACGCTATGAACAGCTTGGCAATACAAATAAGGGGGTTGAGAAGATCCATAGCCAGAAATAGCCCTAAGTTTCTCCAAACTTGTTCCCTTACGTTTCTTGACCCTGCAAAAACGATTAGTGTACCTTTTACCTTTTCTGTTCTTGACCTGGTTGGCCTTCCATTTTTTCTCGACGTGGCAGAGAACATGAAAGTGGTGAATAATGGAGAGGACTGCACATGGCTGGGTTCAACAGTCATGGGGTCTTCGTCGTTAGAACCTACGGATTCCTCTTCATCGAAATCAGTGGTAGTTAAATCTCTCGCAGGTAACTCGTACCCCTCCTCGAAATTCAAACCCTCATTGTTGCTAGAAGTTAGGCTAGTAGGTATATGGTCATCTAACTTCTCAATGGCAGCGCTGTTGGCCTTGGTAAGTCCAGCATCGTGGCTGATCGCGGTGAAGTTCAGGGTTCGTTTGGCCTTTTCCTTTTGGCCCTTTCTGTTGCGACACCTCTTTTTTGGACCCACCATCTTAGTGGAGTAGTGGGCGTGAGTGAGGTTTCAGGAACTTTGGATTCCTTTGCTTTATGAGATTCATAATTGTAATCCCCCATATTTTTAAATAATTTATAAATGAAATTTTATTTTATTTATAATGTTTATTTGTATTTTTCCAGAATTTTATTTTAAAGTTTCAAATTATTAATTTGGGTCAAAAATTATTTTAGGCTAAATTATTTTATGAACCTATCTGTAATCTATGATCATAAAAACAAAGTCTAACCCATTTGTTTATTTAATTGACCCATTATTTTCATGAGACCCAATCTTCCTACTTACCCTACAACCCTCTCTCATATAAATACCCCATAAATCCCCAAAAATTTCCCACACAAAAAGGTTAGTGTTTTTCTTTTCCCCTTCATTTTCTTTTTTCTTTATTTTTTTTCTTTTTCTTTTTCTTTTCCTTTCTTTTCTTTTTCTTTTTTTTTTCTTTCTCTCCTCTTCCTCTATACGTGAGCATAGCTCATTGTTATTGCTGCCACCACAAACCGCTGGAACTGACGCCAGCCACCGGACCGCCGGCGCTGCTGCCACTCTAGCCGACGACCCACTGGCCCACGTGGCCTATCACTCTTCGTCCTCCTTTTGTTTCTATTCCCATTTGCATATTTATATATGTGTTTGTTTATTTTTGATTTTTATTGTTTAAAGTTTATTTATTTAGTATCAAAACCATATTTTTGATGGTATAAAGATTTTAATTTCAGATTATATTTATGTTTTAAATTTTCAGATTTTATAATTTTATAAACCTAGGGTTTTAATTTATTGAAATTGGGATTTTAGAGTTCTAATAAGTAATTAAATTGGGGCTTTTGTTCCTAATGTATTTCTAATCATTAATTAAGGATAAAAACATGTTTTTAAGGACGTTTTAAGAAGTTTTTAATAAAATTTTATTGCTTGAAATTAGTTTGGGTATTAATTTATGATTGTTGGTTGTTTTCTAGGAGGTGATTATTCCCTAGGAGACTTTTAATTGGTTAAAAGTGGCACAAAGGATTGTTTACACGAGGTACGTACTTGTCTACTTCGGTGTAAGTAGTATCATGTTTAGGTATCAAAAGGAAAGAACTTAGTTTCATGTCTAGAGAACTCTTGGATGGAAATTGTTCGGTTAAACATTGAATTAATTCATGTGCTTATGTTTATGAGACATGTTTTGGTGAATTGATTATGTTTGCATGTAATTATGGATGCAAGCATGTTGAATTATATTGGATTAATTGTTTGTATGGAATGTTGATACAAGCATATTTTTATTGATTGGTTTGTTAACCACATTTGGATTATTGAAGGATTGGAATTGAATGGTTTAAGTGGAATGAATTTATTAATTATTCCATGAGGTCATTATTATTTTATTTATTACTCAAGCATGACTTGTTAGTATGTTGAGTAAAGGTGAATTAAGCCGAAATGGCTAGGTAGGTTGACTATGTTCAACAATTTTGGTGATTTGGAATTTAAAGGAATTAAAGTTCAATTTGTGATGTGATCATCATTGTCCTAAATAAGATTAAAAGTGAATTATATGTATGATCATCGTGTATGGTTTACTTGAATGAATCGGCTATTAATTAATCTTGTAATCACGTAAAGTGAAACAAGAATGAGCAATAAAACTCTAGAAAGCGTGCACTTCTGGAATATTGACAATTATGGGTTGGGGTACACGGTGGTAGCCCGTGGCTTGTTTGATCAACATGTCCTCTTTTCTTTTGGTATTTACATTTTTATTTTATAATGAAAGTTAGATGGGATCCTAGACTAACTTTGTGAGAATAGAGGGGTCGCGCCCATTCTTGCATTGCGCTATATTTTTATTTTAAATAGCCATTTGGGACCAAAATGATTTGGTGGGTTGGACAACCTCGTCTACTGCTTACTCCAAATTAAATTAATTAAATTAATTAAATATAAAGAGTCAAGTGTTTGGAGTTGGTTAGTGAGTATGTTGAGTTGATTGAACTATTTTAGTGTGGAGTCTTGGTTAATGAATTCATGTTGAATGTTATTTACTTTAATTAGTTGAGCATGTTAGGTTTGTTGCGTTGTAGCTTGTATGTACTCAGCTTTGTTGATTGCGTGCTTTTGCGTGTTTTCTTTTGGTCATGGCCTTCGCCTTTCAATGACCCTGTGATGATCCAATTATTACACTTGTATTATTGGGGAGCAGTATTGCACAGGTTATCTTGATGATGTGAAGTTCAGGGATTTGACATACGCATTGTCAAGGGATTAGTGTGATTGAGAGTATTCGTTCTTTATGTCGAACTTATTTATATTTTGTTATTTCATTTATGATTTGGGTTTTGAATATTTCATATATGATTTGGGTTTTGAATACTGGTTTGGTTTTAAATAAGGGCCTTTATGGCTCTAGTTTGTAAGCTTTGACTTATTGGTTTTCTAAACTATGTTATTTTTAAAGACTTAAGCTTAGTTTTCTGCTGCGATACTTTGATAAAGCCTTAACGTTTTAACACGTGGCGGTAACATTCCATTGGTTCTCCTCTATTTTATTTAAATTAAGTGGTTTGGAAAAAGAAGAATTATTGGGGTTTTACAAGAATGCCCATCATTGGGGGTCTTTTCCTTCACTCATACAGTCATCCATGATACAGCAGAAAGTTTGCAGAAACTCAAGGTTTTCCCTTAACAGAGATCCGAATAAGACAAATCAGAAATCTTAAGGGATTGATTACTTCGTGATCCGTTGAGAAACGTATGAAGTTTCCTCGGTCCCTTGTCCTTAGCATATCCAGAATCTTGGTTGATTGGAGACCTAGTAGCATCATCGTCCTCCTTTTCCAAAGGGGTGAGAACATTGGAAGTAGTGATAAGGCTATCTACCATCATCTCATTAGCAGTGTCCTTGGTGGGTAAGGCCGTAATATCACTCTGAGCATCGCTACTAGGAAACCCAATAGAGTCTAGACTGACAGATGGATTGTTGATTTTCCCCTTTTTGTTGAAGATGGTGTGGGACAAGTCAGACTCCTCAATGCCCCTCTTTCCCTTGATCTTGTTAGCTTTAATTCTCAACCCCTCTACCTTCTCCATCTCGCGAAGGATGTCCTGATTTTTAGGCTCAGTCTTAGCTGCTTTGCTAAGATCTTCATGGGCCTCTTCGAGTTGATAAAGCTTGATTTCGGCTACAGCTCTTCTGTAAAGGGCTATAGTATTGTTACCATCAAGCATAATGACTAATGAGCAGAGCTCCTTAGTTTGTTCGAAATCACGGACTTCCAGAGCGCAAGCTGTAAGGTTTGACTCAAGGTATATGGCAATGTTCCATAGGAAAACACAATCATCTTCATTTCTTGGCAGACAAAAGCACATAAGTTTCAGCCCTCTGTCATACTTAGCCCTTACAAGAACGATTTCACCTTTCTTAAAGTAAGTATTACCCTCCTCCTTCAAGTCTTTTGCTTGATTAAGAATGTTCCGGGGGCAATTATTTTTGGCAAAGTTGACAATACTTTCGTCAAAATTATCGTTCAAGTGCATGTGTGTAAGGGCACTAAGTAATTCACGACAGTCCATACTAGAATTATTGAAAAGGGAAAGGAATTGACAAAAAAAATTTCACGAAAGAAGAAACTTGAAAACAAAAGGATCGACGGGAAGGCCAAGTAAAAACCACTTTGATGACAAACCCTTCTTTAATATTTTTTTTTTTCTTTTTTTCAAGATAAGGGAACTAGATCATAGCAGAATGATTAATAAACAAAGACCCACGAAGGGGGAATACCACCGCCCGCAACGACAACCCAGGTCAACAAAAGGAAGAGAGAACTTCCGCTTAGGTCGGTTAGTAGCTACTACAGGGGTGGAGCAAACATGTCGACTGTCGAGTCACTACCACCACGATCTTTTGCAAGAGCACGAGGGAAAGCTTAAATCTAGCTACGACGGCTCGACTCTTCGGACAACGTTGACGATGTGGCTTGACAAGGGGGTCGCCGGGGATCAAGGAGCAAGCCAACCCACTCTAATCGCCGGCGGACCGTCAGATCTCTGTTGAAAGGGGAAAACTATATTAGTGGTATTATGAAAACAGTGGGCTTGGTTTGGTGGATTTGGGGTTTCTAAAAAAAATATTAGCTAGAAAATTAATGTATACAATTATACTCATAAACATAGTAATAATCTACTTAATTTATACATATACTTCATAAATTTTTTTTTTTTTTTTTTTAAACAAACGAGAAGGGTAGTATATTAATAGAAAGAGAAAAGATACGGTAAATCAAGATCAGCCAAATCCACAACATATTTTGGGAAATTGCTTACAAATAATTGCTCAACCCCATCCCCTGGCATCAACAAAGCAAGCATTTGGGCTACTACATTACCATTTCTTTTTACATGTACTTCGTAGTTTTTATGCATTTATACCCATAATTCTCATATCCCAACATATAATGAAGAAACCATAATCAACAATGAAGAAAAAATGATCAACATACACATAGTAAAATAGAACAAAAGAAAATATGTTAGGATTATTTTCAAATCTCGTGTAAATTTGAGAAAACCCACATGAAAAATAACAAGAAAATCAACTAACAAACAGAAGAGGGGTTAAAAAAAAACACCCAAAAACATAGGTCAAAATTTGGAGTAATAATGACGAATGGAAAGTGTATAAACATCATATTATTCAATTAGTTTAGCACTAAAGGAAAGCATCACTAAAAAATGAGTAATAAAAACTATTAATTTTTTGTATTTACTCAGGGATATATGGTGAATTTGAAAATGTTAATATATGATGAATTAAATGATAACTCAGGGACATTTAGTGAAAAACTGTATAAATTACCAATGAAGCTCACTAGCGTGGCATTACAAGGCATGTGAGTTGGGCCACAATTAGGCTTTATTATGGCACATTGCCATAAATACTATACAACATGAATTTTTCTTGGTGCATCCATACACAACACATGGGCTTACACAACTTGACTTGTACTCAATTCTAATTGCGTGAAATACACAATTTCACCTAGAACGTATGCTTCCTTTTGGGTTCTAATACCTCTATATGCAAAAGAAACGCTTTTTAGAATTATGGTGACAAATTTGACTTGGCATCAAACACATCGTCCATCAAAGTTGAATTGCAATGTAGGGAGAGAAATAATACTTCACACTCCATTTGTTTTTTTAGTTGACACACTTTGACTTTTACACTATTTACTAGCTACACTTTAAGTAGCTTTTGTGATTTACAGCTATGATAAAAGATACTCCGTACTCATGTGATATCATGAGAAGTGTAACATAAGTAACCTCAAACTTACACAATTTTGTACATTATAATGGCAAGCTTTATTAGTAGTGTGCTGATCAATCAATCTCAACAACACCTTCTCCTGTCCTTTAATTTTTTTTATGTATGCCACCTTCTCGGCCTCTCATGAAACGCCATAGATGCCCCCCTTTATTTGCATCTCAATTTATAATCATATTGATAGTGTACACTTCAGTAGAATATGATGTGTAACATAATGGCTGAAGTTTATGTTTAGGTCAAAATTTGACTGTCAGATAAGACCAGGCTCAATTAGACAATAGCTGGATTAATGAAGATGCAAATGACAATGCAGGTTCTGGAAATCAAAATGAAAGGTATGCAAAGAACGAGCAAAGGGAAAAAGGGAGAAGAGACACAAATTGATGACGTAGAAAACCCCAGGAATAAGGGTAAAAACTGCGGGTGGCAATGAGTCCACCAATCCACTAGGTTGATACGTTAATACAATTGCACTCTAGGTTAGGAATTAAATTGTAACGATGCTAAGGATTGCTAATAATTATTAATTGTTGTAAATGCTAAGGCTAAAGTATTTGTGATGCCTCTGTACATCCTGAAAGGCTTCAACGGCTCCATTCCGGATTCCATGGAATTCGGAGCTAGTGGGCTGAGGTAGTTCCTATTTCCTCGCCATCCTCTTTGTGCACTAATCTGTTAAGGTTTAAACTGGTCTTCAACAATGGCAAGCTGAGACTCATGGTTCCGATTTTCTTGGCACTTCCTTTTGACTCATTCAACTGAGACACTCTTGGAATATTCCTTAGAAAGGTCTTTGTTTAATTTCCTTTAAGTACTTAGGATCAGATTGTTGGCCTTATGGTAACCTACAACCTGCAACCTAGTAACCTGCGAGCAAGTGAACCTGTGATGAAAATTTAGGCACAACAGTTTGCCCCCAGCTTGACTCTTAGATGTTCTAGAGACTTCTACGAGGCAAGCTTAATTATCTAATTTTAAAAAGATAAACTTAGATAATCAACAGAAAAATTATCAAATCAGAAGATATATATAAGCTCTTAAATCCGTAGCAAATGATAAACTCCTTGAAAAGGTAACTCTTTCCCGTTGGACACATTAGATACACGCTTATAAATAGGTGGATAAAGGTCTCTTCAAGTCAGAAACTTCAAGGCAAATTCAAAATTGAAAATCTAGGGTTTTACTTGCGAAAATTGGGAAAACCAAATCAACTTCAGTGAAGCGCACTTTAAGCTGGGATTTTGCTGTGTTGGAGTCAAGCTTTGCAAATTCACTTTACGTTGGTATGCTATTGCTCTCTTTGCTCTTTTAATTTCGTTGTTTTCTGTTGCGAAATTCAATTTGATTATGGTGAAAATTAAGCAAATTGCTAAGAAAAAATGCCATAGACACTTAAATAGGAAACTGAGATTCATTGATCTAGGATATACCAGGATAGAGTGCTAATGTGATGTCTCGAGAAGAGGCTCTTAATCGCATTAAGAGAAAGAGGGGGGATGATTCTCAAGGTGGATTAGGAGATACATCAGTTCAACAGCATGATGACACCCTTCTAAGACTCTGTCTAACAGGGAGGTACCTGTTCCTTCTAGGGTCCCTCGCACTAGGTCTAATCCCCCCCACTAATCCAGTCATTATAGCAGACACTTATGATGTTAGCTTCCCAAATGACTTCTTGGCTGATGAGGGAACTAATAATGGAATCTGGCCAGCTGCTTAGAAACTCTTATTTTCAGCTACTGAGAAGCGCTTAGCTAACTTAGATGGTCCTTTTGTTTTGGCAGATGGGGCTTAGCCGATCCTACAGGTTTGCTAATCTTCTCTAAGTATTTGGTTAGTGTGTATGGCCAGGCACATTATTAACTTGGGCTATTTCTATGAAACAGGGTCTTTAGAATGTTTTATCTTTTAGGGTTCATATGGAAGATATTGAAAGGAAGATGAAGAGAGTTGAGGAAGATATGAAGCTGTTGTATACCAAGATAGCAGATTTAGAGGATGAGAACAAGAACATCGAAGCTGAGGCTACTATGAAGATCAAGGCTCATATGGCTAATGGGTTCGTGCTGAACAAATATGAGGGTGAGCTAGGAAGGAAAAAGCTTCGACAAATAGTGGATGACTATCTGACTATTAGTTCCATTAAGGATCTTATATCTGAGGAACCTAAGGCTGATGAGATTGCCCCTGAGAAGTCCACAACTGATTCCTTTTTGAGTCACAATGTTGATGATCCAGTTATAGATGCTGGAGATGGGAAGGATGGGCCTCAGGCTTAGCTTAGCTTTTGTTCTATGTCTGTCTTTGTTTTGAAACATTTCCTTTGGTATCTTTAAACTTGTGTTTTACTTTGCTCATGGCAGTAAAGGTTTTATGCTTTTGATTTTAAACTTCGAATGCTAGGTCCCTTTGAATAACATAGACTTTGGCTTTTACCTTCGTTGCACTTTGAGTTTTGCTTTTAAATACTTTTGATTCTTGCTTTAGATCTTTTTGGTATCTGGCATTTGGGCCCGTGGTTCATTTATATCTTTGGCAGGTTGAAGCTGTACCTACGTCACAAAGGTTAGAGGTGGCCGTTGGCATAGCCGACATAGCCAATGACCCTCCGATGCTTAAGTCTATACGAGTTATGATAGAATAAACAAAGACAAATTGACAAAGTTTGAAATTACTCTTTATTTTTGTTCTGTCTTTTTTTCTTTGTATCTCTAGGTTGCACCAGGTACTCTGGTTGTTTTCTTTAATCCTGCAAAATAGCGGGTTAGAGCTCCCTCCAATGCCTAAGTTAGTACTGATCTTACGGAGGTAAAAGCAATGAATGGATTTTTTTTTTATTTTTTTATTTTTTTTTAACGATGTAGGAATAACTTAGAGACAACTTAGAAATAACTTTAGAAATAACCTAGAAATGATAAGGTTTCAAGTGAGCTGCGTTCCAGCTTTTGGGTACTAGCTTACCCTCTGGTGTGGCTAACCTGTAGGCCCCTTTGCTAATTACCCTGTCAATCTGGTATGGGCCTTCTCAGGTTGCCCGCAATTTACCTGCATTGAGCTCTCTAGTGTTTTGGAATACCTTTCGTAGAACCCAATCTCCTACTTTGAACATCCTAGCCATTCTTTTGTATGCTAGGTCCTTTCGTTCCTCAATAGTATCCAAGTCATGTGACAGCTCTTCGTTGCTGCGCTCTGGGGTCAGTAGACCATACCTGGCTGTTGGAGTGGTGACTTCTGCATGTAACACTACTTCACATCCATATACCAGGGAGAAAAGGGTTTGACCTGTAGTTGCCCTCGGTGTGGTTCTATTGGCCCATAGGATCCTCAGCAACTCTTCTGCCCACTTGCCCTTTTTTGCTTCTAGCTTTTTCTTCAAAGAGCCAATTAATAATTACTTTGTTGCTAGATTTAGCTTGTCCGTTTGCTTGCGGATATCTGGGCATTGAGGTAATAAGAGTGATGTTCCATTTATCACAATAATGTCTGGTTGGGTCACTTATGAATTGGGATCCATTGTCACAGACAATTTCAGATGGCAAGCCAAATCTGCAGATTATGTTTGTCCAAATGAAGTTAATTACTTCTTTGTTTGTCACTTTTTGGAATGCATCTGCTTCTATCCACTTGGAAAAGTAATTTGTTAGAGCTAACATATAGACCTTTTGACCCGAAGCAGGTGGCAGTTTGCCAACTATATCCATGCCCTATCTCATGAAAGGCCATGGTGTCAAAGTAGGATGCAAAGGTTCAGAGGGTTTGTGAGTGATACTTGAGTGACGTTGGCAGCTGTCACATTTACTTACATACCTGTGTGCATCATTGCGCTGTGTTGGCCAATAATAACCATAGGTTAGTATCCTATTAGCTAGAGTTCTTCCACCTGAATGAGCTTCGCACTCTCCGTCGAGAAAATCCTTGTATCTGCTCGTATCTATCTTCTTCATTGTAGCGTTATAAAACGTCTCTGGTTGATTTCTTAAACAAAATAACTTGGATGATCACGTACTTGGATGCTTTGAATCTGAGTGCCCTTGCTTCAGCCTTGTTTCAAGGTAGGATATCATGCTCTAGGTAATTAAAGATATGTTGAATCCAACTAGTTTGATTTGCTATGGGTGCAACAACGCTAGGTTCGGTAAGTTCATCTTTGACAGGTTTAGATTGAACATGTTCAGGGGTATTTGAACTGTTGGGCTCCAATTTAGCGGAATCTGGGTTGATGGGTTTTGGTGATTGGTTCTCGGTGTTGATGGCAAGTGCTAGTAGGTGGATTAAAGGAATGGATGAGAATTTGGATTTCCTTAAAGCTGATCCTAGGTTGGCTAGGGCGTCTGCTTGTGTATTCCGGTCTTTGGGTATTTGTTTAATGGAGAAGGTAGCGAATTTGGCTGCTAGGGATTTAGCAAATTCTAGGTATAAGATCATTTTGGAATTTTAAGATGTAAATTCTTCGTTCATCTGACTTGCTTCTAGAAAGGAGTCATAAAACACCTGCAATTTGGAGGCTCCAAGATCTCTTGCTAGGTTCATTCCTGCAATCAAAGCCTCATATTCTGCTTCATTGTTAGTAGCTTTGAAATTACAACAGATAGATTGTACCATCATGTCACCCTGTGGAGACTTCAGCACCACACCTAGATCTACACCTCAGAAATTGGACGATCCGTCTACATACAACGTCCAGGGTTAGCGACTTAGGTAATCTGCTTCACTTCTTGGGCTGCTTGTTGCTCTAGGTCAAGGCTGAAGTCAGCCTGAGATTGTGACTTTATAGCCGTTCTTGGTTCATATTTGATGTTGAATCCGCTTAGTTCGATTGCCCATTTGCTCATTCAACCTGTCAGATCTGGTCTATGTAGCACAACCTTGTAGGGTAGTTAGTTTTCACCACTATTAGGTGAGTTTCAAAATAACGATGCAGTTTCTTACAAGCTACTATTAGTGATAATACCAGTTTTTCAAGTGATGAGTATCTGGTTTTAGCACTATGGAGAGTTTTGCTGACATAATAGACAGGTAATTACTGACTTTTAGCTTCCCTTGCCAAGATAGCACTTATAGCTTGAGTGCTAACAACAAGGTAAAGTTGTAAAGACTCTCCTTCAGCAGGTTTTGATAATAAAGGAGGCGACATTAAATAGAGTTTCAGATCCTGTAAGGCCTTCTCGTGGTCATCAGTCCAATCAAAACCTTTATTTTACTTTAAAACATTGTAAAACAAATGACATGTATCTGATGACCTCATGAATCTATTTAATGCAGCTACTCTGCCTGTCAATTTCTGAACTTCTTTGATATTTCTAGGTGATTACAAATTAATAATAGCACATACCTGATTTGGGCTAGCCTCGATTCCTCTTTGCGTTACTACATAGCCTAGGAACTTATTTGCAGATACTCCAAATGAGCACTTAGATGGATTCAGCTTCATCCCGTATTTTCTCAGCATGCTAAAAGTCTCATTCAGGTGGTCTACATGGTCAGTTTCTTTCTTCGATTTTGCCAACATATCGTCGATGTAGACCTCCATGGTGTCCCCCAGCTGGTCCTTGAACATCTTGTTGACTAGTCTTTGATATGTAGAACCAGCATTCTTCAACCCAAACGACATCACCTTGTAGCATGAAGGTGATCTTCTCTTGATCATCTGGATGCATTAGAATCTGATTGTAACTTGAATACGCGTCCATGGATGTGAAAAGCTCGTGCCCTGCTTTAGGAACTACCATCGAATCTATATGAGGCAGGGGGAACGGGTCCTTAGGGCATGCTTTATTCAGATCTATGAAGTCGATGCAGACTCTCCAGGTTCCATTCTTTTTGCTGACGACGACCACATTCGCTAGCCAATTTGGATACTTGACTTCCTTTATCTTTCTGGTATCTAGCAGCTTCTGCACTTCTTCATTTATAATCTGGTTATGCTCTGGTGCAAATTCCCTTCTCTTCTGCTTCACCGGCTTCGTGCTGGGATCTACATTGAGCTTGTGAGTAATGATCTCTGGGTTGATTCCCTTCATGTCTCTATGAGACCAAGCAAAACAATCTGAATTTTCCTTTAAGCACTTTATGATGGCTTCTTTTTGATCCACAGGTAATGCAGCTCCGATCTTGACTATCTGATCAAGCTTGGATTCATCCAGCACCACTTCATCTAATTGCAGCTCATCTAGGCGTCCAGGTGCTGGATTCTGTGGTAATTTCTAGATTGAGGGCCCATGGGGCTTCATAGCGATCTGATAGCATTCCCTGGCTTGCTTTCTATCTCTTTCGACTATTGCTACCCCCTACGGCCTTGGAAATTTTAGCAGTTGATGATAGGTTGATGGGATAGCCTTCATTTTATGGATCCACGGGGTTCCCACTATCACATTATAGGCAATCTTGCAATCTATCACATAAGACTTGTGCATCATATTGACGCCTTTCAGCAAGGTTGGCAACTGGATTTCTCCTAGGGTATTCATGGCTTCTCCATTAAACCGACCTGTAGACCTCTTGATGATATCTGACTTTTTGAACTCGGCTTGGTCTAAGGAATCTCTGAATATTATATTAGTCGAGCTTCCATTATCTACCAGCACCCTTTTCATTAAGCAATGACTAACATGGAGGGAGATAACTAGACAATCATGATGCTCTGGCTCATTGAATCTACTTTCGTTAAATACTATTTTCATTATCTAACGCTTTTTCTTCTTTACTGGGATAGGTTTGAGGGATGCTGGAAGTTGACATACCGACCCTTGCTATCTTCTTTTCATTGGAATAGGTCATTCCACTTATGCTAGATCCTCATGCTATAGCACTGATTACGACACTGGGAGGCGAAGCTGGCGGACCTGGCAGGGCTTCTCTTTTGATTTCAGGTCCTTTCCTTTTTTTGCCTAGGAGATCTTTTAGGTAACCTTTTTTGAGCAACCAGGCTACCTCCCTTTTCAAACCATTGCATTCATCGGTCCTTTGCCCATGATCTCTAAGATATTCGCACCACCTAAATTTATCCTTTTGATGGTCCGGTTTGTCGCTCTTTCTGGGCCACCTTATAGGTTGCCCGATTTCCTTTAAAGCATTGACTACTCCAACTATATCGATATCGAACCCGTACAAATGGATGTCAGGATGATCTCTGGTTCCGACCTGCTGGAGCCTTCTCCTACTTTTGAATCTGACACACTGCTTACATTGTTGTGCCTCGGAGTATCACGCCAGTTACTCTGCCTAGGCCCAGAATATTGATTTTTGAAATACCCAACTGGCCTTATCTCGACCAGGCCTCTTGCCCGCTCGTCCTCTTTTACACGGACCTCGACCATTGCCCTGGTTCTGACTTCTTCGAAAGAGGCACAAGGATATCTGGTCAACTCAATATAACTTGGAATGGTAATTGAGGCCTCTACGGAATGCTTCTATAGAAGTTGAATGATCGCAGTTCATGATGTTGACCATCTCTCTATTGAACCCATCCCAATATTGCTTGGTCGTCTCATTCTGCTTCTAGACGACTCGCTATAGGTCACTGCTCTGTTTCTCCAACTCTCTGCTGGTTGTGAACTGCTGATAGAACTTATTCACCAAGCTAGAGAAGCTGCTAATAGATCCAATCTTTAAATTAATTAGCCATTGGAATGCAGGTCCTGATAATGTAACGCCAAAGGACTTGCACATAGTGGGCTCAATAAGCTCCCACGGAATTGATAGCTGCCACATCTTTTGCTTGTACTGACATGAGGGTCAATGATCCCATCATACATCTTAGAGAAGGTTGGAATATTTAACTTCGTGGAAATTTTGACTTTAGCAATCTCCTCCACGAAGGGGGATTCAGCAAATCCATCACGAGATTCGTAGGCTACAGGTTTTGGTGCACCTGGCAGCCGGGTTAAGAGCTTCAACATTTTCCGATTCTGGGCTTCGATAATTGCCACTTTCTTGGTCATGGGGACATGGTTTCCACCTGACTCATCTTCAGGTTTCTTAAGAACGTTATATTCTCCTTCAGATTCGTCGGATGAAATCAGGGAGAATTGAGGAATATCATCGGTTTTGAACCTTCTTCTCTTATTGCTCTTGACAGCTTCAAGCTCCTTGTTCAACTTTTCTAATGATGCTTGATGAGATTGAGATTCATTCTGAAGCTTCAGATTTTGTTCTCCGGCAGCTCTCAGCTCTTCTCTAGTTTCCCGCAACTGCTCAACGATTTTGGCCATGATAGGATCTTGATCGAGAGTCTCAACCATGATGAATGAAAAATCAAATGAAATTAATAAGATGATCTAACAGTGTCCCCACAGACGGCGCCAAACTGTTTAGGTCAAAATTTGACTGCCAGATAAGACCAGGCTCAATTAGACAAAAGCTCGATCAATGAAGATGCAAATGACAATGCAGGTTTTGGAAATCAAAATGAAAGGTATGCAAAGAACGAGCAAAGGGGAAAGGGGAGAAGAGACATAAATTGATGACGCAGAAAACCCCAGGAATAAGGGTAAAAACTCCGGGTGGCAATGAGTCCACCAGTCCACTAGGTTGATAGGTTAATACAATTGCACTCTAGGTTAGAAATTAAATTGTAATGATGCTAAGGATTGCTAATAATTGTTAATTGCTGTAAATGCTAAGGCTAGAGTATTCGTGATGCCTCTGTACTAAGATTATCTCTCTATTTATAATGAAAGAATCATCTTGAAAGGCTTCAACGACTCCATTCCGGATTCCGTGGAATCTAGAGCTAGTGGGCTGAGGTAGTTCCTATTTCCTCGCCATCCTCTTTGCGCACTTATCCGCTAAGATTTGAATTGGTCTTCACCAACGGTAAGCTGAGGCTCATGGTTCCGATTTTCTCGACACTTCCTTTTGACTCATTCAACTGAGACACTCTTGGAATATTCCTTAGATAGGTCTTCATCTAATTTCCTTTAAGTAATTAGAATCAGATTGCTGGCCTTATGGTAACCTGCAACCTAGTAACCTGCGAGCAAGTGAACCTGTGATGAAAATTTAGGCACAACAGTTTATACATGGTTTTATCTTACAACTACAGATATTTCATAACTAAAGGTTCGTGATGCAGACCTGCACAAAGGCTATTGCGAATCAGTCACTTTGTTAGCAGGTGAACTACTCAGGTACCTCTCAACAATGTCAAGGCCACAGAGCTCCTTGACCACAGGCATGGTGGCAAGGACAGGTAATTGGAACAAAGAAGGATCAACATGGCCACCCCAAGAAGCAAGCTGCCTTCTCGCTCCTTTGATGGCTGCTCTTGTTGCACAATGAACTGATGCTGCTAGCAGCAATGGTGGCTCTCCAGAAGCTGCAAGCAAACCAAACAGAAGTAAAATGACAAGTTTTAACGCAATCAAAGTACACAGATCACACCTTTATTAATTATGTTCCCTTTTTATTTCAAAAGAGCTTTATTTCTATCCTTTCCCCTAGAGAAATTACGAAGTACAATTTTGAGGCCTCTTTTACCCATTCTCTTAAATCTATCCTTTCCTAGAGCTTTTATTCTATCCTGTCCTAGAGAAGTTTTTTGTTATTACAATAACCTATGGATATGTGCAAATTGGCATAAGGTGTGGTTTTAACTAATCTCTCTCGCTCTTATGGGGAAAAGGAGGTGGGGATATCACAAAGGCACACTGTTCACTGTTGTATAATTATACCTTTAGATGATAGAACACGCTTCTGATGATGTCCGCTGTTCAAAATTTCAACATTTAATTGTTTTGGTACGGTATTAATTGTTGGGATCTTATACGTCCATGTGCTATCAGAAACCACCAAACCATCAAGATCAGTTAGGTACTCTTCTAGCATGAAAAAGCCGATACCTTGAACAAAAGCCTCTTCTATCTGTAAAAAATGCCACAAATTGGATGTTTTAACTATCAACTAGAGGAAGGCGAGTCAAGTAAGATCACAACCGGTTAAGATGTAATTCACCCCAGCAGGGAAATCAGTGCACAAGTTTTAGAATAAATTAGTTCATACATGAATCTTACACATGAATTATAAATGTATCAAAAGTCTTTATATCTTAAGCATATCTATAAGCAATACTACAAGGATGATAATTAAAATAAACCTGTCCCAGATCAACAGCAGGATTTAAACTCTGTCCACAGTCATATATGATGTCTGACCGCAAAATAGTAGTTTCTCCAGTGAGGAGATTCACTTCTACCTGTAGAAGAAAAGTATTATCATAAGAAATAGTCCTCGGAAAAAAGAATCAGGTAATCCTTGATTTGATTTCTTATTACTTCTTTCCAGGCAGCATGAATCTTGCTTGAGAAGGGCAATTGTATAATAAGTTTATCAATATGTAAAGCTGCTTTTAAATAAAGGAGAGACTTATACAAGGCTGTTTTTAACAAATTTTACCTCACTAACAGCAGCTCCGTAGTTCATATATTGCATGGAAGTCAAATCAGGTTTGTAAAGGGTGCTAGCCGACAAATTTACTGATTGTAAGCCTGCCTGCAATTAACGAACTGTGAGGTTTTTATTCAACATCATATAAAAACCGACCTCACATTTTATGCTTGGTTGATGATTCCATGTTGCTCAAAATATTTGATTAGTGCGAAAAACTTATTTATTACTGATTTAGAAGTGTTTAACTATTGTACATCAAAGAAACTTCAATTTTATTTTGGCTGACACTGACAGTATACAGCAAAGAAACAAGCAGAGAGACTAACACACTTGTGATGGAAAAAGTTACAATACAAAAGCTGTAGTGATTCATCATTTGGCCTTTTAAGTAATGAATTTCCCTACTTGTAGTCAGCCAAAATTATGAAGAATATTTTGTGCGTCTGAGGATATCATTGGGGATCTTGAACAAGTACTTAACTGAAAAATAAGTGTCTCCCAGTTAATCGACCCCATTTTTTCCTGTACTCTCCTTGAGAGGAAATAATCTTTCAACCAAAGTATTGCAGCAGATTCTTACGGCTTCACAGCTAGACTCGGAAGTAGTACTTCCTGAAGTAAACCCTCCTTGTACCACGCTTAATGTATCTGCTTGTATTACTCGTACCTTATCCAAAAGATCATCGCTTCCAGCACAATTGATCAAACTCAGAGAAAATGCAGCCATCTGTTTTACTTTAGTCCATAGACCTTGACCAAGCTCAATCCCTCCTACTTCCACAGCAATTGACCCATCCCGGATATGCTGACTCTACCAGGGGTTGATCTTAGTGAAACACCGTGCACAATGGGAAACCTGGAAATTCCCTTTTTACGCCAAATATTAGTGCTGTTAAATTGTTTAACCATCTCATTTCTATGGTTAAAGCTTGACGATGACTATCTTATTCCAGATTGTGGGTAAAGTATATTCACCCGGCTCTCCAGCAGCCTCCGGACAGAACAAAGTTAAGCTATCGAAGGTGTGGAAGTTCTGGTCTCTAACAACATCAACATCTATTAAAAGGGAAGAAGCTACATGTTCAATCACGGCTTCAGCAATGAATGCTCCTTGTAACTCACCAGGACCTCGCATTGACGATTTACTTGTATGATTTGTCTTGCATAATTTACTTGTATGATTTGTCTTGTAACTTCAAGTCCATTCACTATGTTTGAGGGTATTTCTGGGCTAAAATCTACTGATATACCAGCATTGACCAAAATCTCAATATGTAAAGCTGTGATCTTCCCA